CAGGTATATACCGGATACCCTGATTTTGTTTTATTCTACCCATTGAGTACTTACTCACCGCCCGTGTCTCGTTTTTCAGGTAGAATGGCAGTGACGAAAGTGGTTCTTCGTTGGGAGCTGTCTATTTCGAAAAATGACTCAAACTTATGTTCTTTTTTTTAAACAGGACGCTCTATATATTATTTTTTATTTTATTTGCCTTGTTATGAGCTTTCGAAAATTATAATATACTCTATATTTATTTATTTAGGTACTGCTAAACTGTTAAACGGCTCTTATTTTATTTAACTTAATTTTACCAGATAATTTTGCTTTGCATCGTGATATTTTGATAAACTACACGGAAACTGAACTTGTGCTTTTAAATAACATGCCAATAACCAACAACATTTACGTCGAATAAATTAGTTGATTGTTTTGATTACCTAATTTAAACCGGCCGACTATGTAATAAAGTTAAATAATGCATTTTTACCCCGTTTATGAAAATAAGTATTTTAGAAAGCTCGTAACAAGGAAATTAAAATAATATACAAAATATCGTATTTAAAAAAACATATAAGTTTTAGTCAATTTAAAAAAAGAATTCCAACGAAGAATTAGTTACGTCACTGCATTCTACGTGAAAAACTGTACGGGAGACCGTTTTCATCTTTTCGATAAGTTATGATACAAAGGGGATCGAAAAATGCAATAATTTCAGATTCGCCCTGTATTTTAGGAAGTAAGAGAGCTAGGATATATCTGTATGTAGCATCTTTAGTTTCATAAAAAAGTAACAGCGTAATGTGAAAACCGTATCTTTGTATCTCGACTCATAAACGAGAAACCCTGCAAAACACACGAAAATGGGACACCCTGTACAGACGTACTGCCAAATCAAGAAATCAACTACGAATGAAATCTAAGATCGATTTATATATTTTATATATTTTAATATTTTTTGTGTTTGTGATAATTCCTTTGCTACTTCGTCCAAAAACCGACAGTACGGGGAAGGAGCGTTTCGAGGAAGTAAAGGGACGAAGGAGCGTTTTGACGAAGGCACGAAGGAACACACAGTCGCATCGACATTTCCCATAGTAAATATAAGATTTTTGGACGAAGGGACGCGACGAAGGAAGGAAGCGAAGTGTGAGTATGGGGCTTTACAGATATCAGATATAGTATGTAGGTTAATCGAAAGCATATATTTTTTTAAATATATAGAGTTCTACAGGGTATTATCAAAAAAAGTTATTCATCAAAAATGGGTTTTTGGAACGGCACATGCTATACATATATTACCTAATTGATTTTCGGATTCTAGGAAAAAAATAAGTTTCGTTAAAGAAATTTATGACTAAAATGTAAAGTTTTTAACATAGTGAACATTTTCTGAAAATGAAAAATGGATTTCAATAAAAGCTACCTAAATTGTAATTTGCCTTGTGTAGCCTGATATTTAGTTAAAATAATCATTTATGTTAAACCGAGTGTCAAACCATAGACTTAAAATTGTTAAACCAAATTAAATTTTGACCCGAAAAGTAATACAGGGCGAAACAAAATTAATATTGAATACTGGTCACTTTTAAAAGGAAGTTATTCTTTTATTTTAAACGGAACACCCAGCATATTCTTCCGATATTCAATGGAGCTTTCATATCTCTTCAAAATACCATTAAGGTTGGCTCTTATATAGAAGATTTTATCATCCATGTGTAAGGACATATCTGGTTTTTACCATTTACGCGTAGACTACTCTGGTTTTTCCCTTGTACGGCAAAATAATCAAAAACTGTAATATCTCTGGGACTAAGCGTATTATTGCTTTCTTTGATGGTGCCTCGATTCCTAACTAAAGCGCCAAATAAACAAGTGTAGACCATAATAATTCATTTTGTCTCTTGAATAAGTTTGTGGAAAAATATCGTGAAAGACGATGCTTATGGGATACAAGGGCTGCCGTTTATAAAAATAAAAAAGCTCGGGACTCGGAACACAGCGTATAAGGAAATTGAGGAGATCATGGGTATAGAAGTATTCGGATTTCATGAAATTAAAAACAAAATACGGGCATTGAGATCAACTTATTGTCAAGAAAAAAGAAATAAAATAAAGCATTTATGAAATCGGGAGCAGGTTCGAAGGATATTTGTGTCCCCAGTGTAAAATCCCGTTTAAACCAACAACTATGTAAACAGCAATAAAAATTAAAATGTAGACGCTCACTAAAATGAACGGGCTAAATTTTAGCTACTTGCTTTAGTAGCTTGCTTTAGCTACTTGATACGTGTGACTGCGGCTTAACGCTAATATTTGCCTACAAAATAAAGTTGTGTCGCGTGTCGCTATCTTAATTTCTATGAAAAAGTGGCATATTTGGTTTTTCCCGTGTAGTTTTCATATTAAGCTATACCAGATAAATTCCAATTTAGATAACTTTTATCGAACTTTAAAATTTGCTTTCCATTTTTAGATAATGTTAAATTTAAAAAAATGGCACCGGGAGGCAAGTATAGCCGCCCATACTTGATATTTTTTTAATCTCAAAAACTGTGACCATGACTGATTTTGATGTTATTACAAATTTTGTTGCAAATATTATTCCTAATCTTAAATTGAAAACCGCGTTTCGTTAGCTACTGTAATTTTGGAGTTACGATTTTTTAAATGTTTAACCCCTCCCATACCCCCTTGCCAACCCCCCACTCCCACCAAAAACTAATGGCCAGATTCTCGGGTGCCACAGTATTTTTGTGCCAAATTTGGTTAAAATCGGTTTAGCGGTTTTTGTTTTTTTCGTGTTACAGACGGACAGACAGAAGGACAGACGGACAGACAGACAGATGGTCGGCTAAAAATGTCTATACCTTTGTGGCCGATTCATCTCTCCAAAAAAGTCCTATGGCTATTTCGCCACTGTAAGAAAATCTACAAAATAAAATAGTTATTTTTACTAACTAACACTGCTGCATTAATCCAACTGAGACTAATAATTGTCAGCAGTTCGAGAACACTAGTTTTTTTTTAAACAGATAAGAGATAAGTCTACAAAAACCGTTGACGTTCTGTTAAAATAGCATATTATATCCAATTTATACTTCAAAATTAACAATTACTACTTGATAACAATTACTTAATAAGGTAGGTAAAACCAAAACGCTTGAAACATTCTCTAAGCTTGTTTTAAATTTGTTTTAATTTTTACGTATACGTATATGTTATGTTTATTTATCTACGTCAGTCAGTTAAGAAGCTCTTAACTCACGCATTTTGAGTTCTGTTTAGATGACAGCCAAAGAGAAAAAAAAATTGTAAAACATTTATTTTGTACTAAATACCTACTAAATACAAATAAACTGTTCTATTGATAATAATTGTAAAAACATGAAAACCCGCTGTTCAAAAAAGTTGTTATTAAATTGAAAACAATTTTGTTTCATACATAACGATGTAAGCTCAATATAGTCAATCACAGTTTTTTTGTCGAGACCATTTGCGTTCAGTAATTCCTTCAAGTAGCCTAAAGTATGTGGAATTGGAACACTTGGGAACAACGAAGATACATCAAAGAAGACCAAAATTTCACCTTCATGCAATGTTATATCTTTAATTTTGTTAATGAATTCAATATTATTTTTAACTGCGAAAGAAGGTTCATGATCAGGTAAATCTTCTAATAAGGCTTAAATACCTATGTTGCCATATTATCAAGAAGTTATGTTTTTTAACTAAAAACTAAAAAAATTACAAAAAATTTTTCAAAAAATTTCGAATTTTCAAAATTTTTTTTTGTGAAAAAAACCTCATAGGCGTGTTTCTGGGGTTGTACTATACTACCAGTTAAAATACTTTTTAGAAATTTGATTTCTAAATCAAGCCATTTTTGTTTTGCAATTTTCTCTACCTTATCACTAACGTTACTTTTCGGAATATCAACTTTAATAAAACTAGGATAAACTGAATTGGCTTTGCATGATTTAAGAAACCAAATATCTGCTCCTAATAACCTAATCTTAGTACTAAACTTACGATAAAGATTCAATGAATGTTATGTTCTTTAAAATCAAAGAAGCGATTGCTATACATTATTAACATCTACCGATGCATGAGCAATATATTTATTTTTATTTCTTATGTTAAATGTATATCCCATTTTAGTCCTATGCTTCTCTAACGAAGTTCGCCTTTCTATTTCGCTTCTAAAATCCGAAAATCAATTAATATATAGGGTGTTCCATTATAAAAACGCATTCTTGACCTGTAACTTTTTTTGGGATATCCTCTAAAACTCTGTATTTTAGTAAAAATGCTCTAAATTAACTTATATGAAGGCTCTGCTGAAGGTCACGTGCCCACAAAATGTCATTTCAATATCCACTGTTGCGCACTTTGGAGTTTCCGTGTCGTATGAGAGGCGCCACCCTGTACTCTAATGATAAAATAAAACTGGAGAATTTTTTAGAATAATTAACTAACTAATGGCTAATAAGTTACTCTCCATTAGTTTCTCTCTCTCACCCCATTTATGAAGTTTAATAAGACACTGTTAGGACAATTTTTCATTGCATTCGTTGCACTAAAATACAGCGTAATTATAGATACTGTAATCTGTATTTTTTTGCTATAAGAATGTGCAATTTGAATAGAAGAATTTTGAAAATTATAAAAAAACGGTGTTGTGGTATGAAAGCAGAAAAAAAAAGATTGGTTAAGCTGTACGCACACTGGCGCGATCACGGCCGCGATCACGATCACGATCAGGGCAGCAATAATATGAGCGATCATTCTAGCACACACCGACGCATTCACGTTCACCGCCGCACCTATATGTAGTGAGCTATCCTGTAGGAATGATCGCTCATGTTATCGCTGCCCTGATCGCGATCGTGATCGCGGCCGTGATCGCGCCAGTGTGCATGTGTACAGCTTTAAGCGGTTCAAACATAATATTTTATATAATATGTATTTTGAAAAGTACATTTTAAAATTTAAAAACAATGTGAAAAACTTACCAGGCGATGCGTAGAATAAATAAACTGTTTTATTTGGGTTAGCCCTAGCTGCACTCTCTATGGCACAAGCCTGTCGACTCTGTATTAAAATCTTTTCTCCATAATACGAATTGCAAGAAGTTTCCAGAAAGAAAATAGATGTATCCTTTATTATTTCGTCGTCTATAAAAATATTTATAGAAAAAAAAACCAATGGTGAAAACTATTATAGGAACATCGAGATATTAATAATTATTTTATTTAATTATTTATTATTATATTTAATTATTATTATTAACATCAATAATACCAATATATCTCACCGTTTACACTAGGAAGTGTATCCAAGACAGGTAGAAAATGGCAGTACATTTCATTTTTCGGAGAATATAATTTATAATAGCGTTTATAAAAGTTTATAGACTTAACATAAAAAATACACTGAACTAAGACGACTAAGATACATGAAATTAAACATGCAAGCAATAGCTTCTTATACGATATCATAGCTTGAATGGTCTTGCACTAACTCTAATGAACTACAAACTAAATAATGTCCTTATTCTTCCTTGTTTCAATATTTATTAGGTAGATTAGTAGATAACATTCTTAGTATCCTAATTGATTCTATTGTTGATACTATCTATTATAATAATCTATACATTTTCGCTAAATTTGTTATATAAGGCGCGAGAGAGTTGACTAATAACTAATTTTAAAAAGAGCGAAACAAAAATAAAATGTTGCAGTTTTAGACGCCCTTTTATCTCATGTGCCTGTCAAGATAAACGCTGGGATTTTATTCTTTCTCTACGTGAAATCCAGTGGCGTAGACAATGTTTTTTTTTTAAATATTACCATTTGTGACATCTCGTATATTTGTCAAAAAACCTACCCATTCAGTAAAAAAAGTCACATTATATTTTACAACATTCCAATCAATCCCCAAACAGCTTGTTTTATATTGTTGATTTCTAAACGTTGCATCGTTGTTGATAAAAGCTTGCAAAGAAACATAGATTGACTAGGTACTCTAGGCAACGTTGACTACTAAATATTGTTTTAAATATGTTTTTAAAACCTAATTATGTTTGACTTCTCACAGCTTTTTTCTACATATTGTAACAAATATTTAAATAAAAGATCACATTGTATGCATTTTGTATTTGAGTTTGTTGAATATATAAGCTATAGTTTAGCCATGAATAAACCGTGTGTAGTTTGTGCTTAAGTGAAATTTTGAAATAGTTATATTTTCTTCTTCTTATAGTACCATAAGGTTGGCAACAATTGCGGCGAAACACTGTCTGTCCTATGCAGCTCGAAACAGTTCGTGTGAGTTCAGTCCAGTCCAGTCCCGTAAGTTTTTCAACCAAGAGTGCTTGCGCCTCCCAAGTCCTCTTCTGCCTTCTACCTTTTCTTCTATAATCAACTTCAGAAGCTTTGCTCTGCTATTGCGCATGACATGGCCCAGATATGCTGTCTTTCGTTTTTTTATATTTGCAAGTAATTCCCTTTCCTTGTTAAGCCTCCCAAGAACCTCTTCATTGCGTATATGATCTGTCCAGGGTATATTCAAGAGTCTTCTGTAGATCCACATTTCAAAAGCTTCCAACCGTCTCATGGTGTTCATTTTAATCGTCCATGCCTAACAGCCGTATAAGAGGATTGAGTATACATAACAATGGACGACGATGTAACTTCTAAGTCGGGGTCAAGGTCCGATGTTAGCCAGGATCCAGGATCCCAGGTATTTGAACTTATTTACCGTGTCTACGCATTGTCCGTATACTCGTATGGTGGTGTACTCGTATTTCTCCTACTAACGACCATTATTTTGGTTTTTGCCGTGTTTATTTTAAGTCCCCATAGATCTCCTGCCTGAACTATGTCGTCTAGAAATTCTTGAAGAGCCTCAGGGTTGTCAGCGATAATCGTGGTGTCGGCTGCATACCTAAGGTTGTTAATTGGGACGCCATTTATTTTTATGGCAATGCCTTTATCTTGTAGGGCCTTATCGAATATATATATCCCGAGTATATATTAAACAATAAGGGAGACAGTACACCTCCCTGACGAACTCCACGGTGTATTTCGTCTGTTTAGTCTTGCCCTAGCCTTATGTATGCTGTCTGATTCCAATATAGTGTTTTTAAGAATTGGATATCGTTCTTGTCTAGACTTTTGTCTTGCAAGATGTTAAATAGCAGTGTGTGTTCTACTTTATCAAAGGCCTTTTCGTAGTCGATGAAACAAATGTATACGTCTTTTTGTTGGTCTCTACATTTCTGTAAGAGAACAGACAGGCCAAACATTGCTTCCCTGGTCCCTATTCCTTCTCGAAAGCCAAATTGGCCATCATCTAAATCAATTTCACATTTTTTGAATATTCTGTGTTGAATTATTTTAAGAAGTTCATTAGGCTTCTAAGAAGTTAAGAAGTTCATTAGGCTTTTAAGAAGTTCATTAGGCATTAGGCTCATTAGGCTTATTTATTTGATGTGTTCGCATCTTTTTGCGGTGTGATTTTTTGGGATAAGGACAAAAATTGACTTCAGCCAATCTTGTGGGATCTCACTGCTTTTGTAGATTTGGTTTAACAGTCTAATTAGCATGGGGATGTTTTCTTCATTTATCAATTTGAGCATCTCAACATGTACTTCATCCGGGCTTTTCCTAGTTATATTTTAAACAATTGAAAAGTTCAAGTGGATAAAACCAGGATAAAAGTATATATTCCTAATCTAATTATAAAACCACAAGTAATATTTATTCATTGAAGCTAAGAAACAACAGCGAATGCAGATTCTGTGGGGAAAATGGGAGAACACTAGAACACCTGATCACTGAGTGCGCCGAGACGACAACCCTTCGTGTCATAAACTTTGGTACGACTGATATCGAAGATGGAGAACTAGCTTCTTTGAAGCCGTCTGAGATCCTGGCTTTTGTCAAAGCCTTGAGATTATATAATAACTCAAAAAATGAGGACACAATAGATTTGTAATAAATATTAAGAAATAGGGGGAAATATTACGGATGGGAATATTAAGGAAATGAATCCTAAAAAAGCAATATTGTACCTTGCTTTGCGTTCTTTAAGTTTCAGGAATGTTAAACAAAATAATTTTGCTTGTTGAGAAAAATATACAATAGTATTTGACTATTTTAATAAAAAATGACAAAAATCCTAATTTACAATTTATATGTATATCTAAAATTATGCAGTACGCCATACAAAACACTCATCATTTAAAACTATGGCGATAGAACCGGACACAGAAAAAGAAAAAATACACTTCAATAATTGCAATTAATTGCAAAAATTAAAAGTCCTTGAGCTTTATAAACTATTAGATAAGTTTCTTTTTTTTTAGATTACAACTAGAGTTTATTTAATGATTATTTAAGTTTTATAACTATAATTTTTGAATTGTTTTTATTGAGTCATATTATTTTATATTTTAATCGAAAATTACCCATTTTGACATCCATCAAATGTTAATCCGTGAAATTAAAGCATTTATCAAAAAATATATCTACAGAAGGTTTATCTAAATACTCAAAACTGAAATAATGTTATATTCATGTTTAAGCAGTAAAATAAAAATGTCCTATGGGTATTTCGCCACTGAAAGAAAATCTACAATATAAAATTTTAACAGAACGTCAACGTTTTTCGTACGTTTCTATTTTGAAGAAACTAAAGTGTTGTCGAATAGTTGCATTTAGATATTTTAAATAGTTTTTTTCTTTGTCCTTTGTGTTTTTTTTTGCTTCCGACGACGTAACTTTGTCCGTTAGGCATATTTGTTTATTAGTAAACCACTACTGGCAATTAGTCTTCGTTGGATTAAAGCTTGATTTTCAGGCGTCCGTTATTCGTTGATACGATAGTCCGATGGCTCTCTGATTGGTCATAGCGTTTTCGCGCCACTTTTCATCCGTAATTTTTTTACTCCAGCTGGTCAACGGAGAAAGATCGTACGATATCGGACATTTTGACATTTGTTTGACAAATTTAATCTAACCTTAATATAAATATAAAAGTACAAGAGCTAGCAACGTCGGAAAAACGAGAATTTTAAGAAAACTGGTTCCTTAATATATCTTTTGCTATGCTCTCCTGCTCAAAGTGCGGGCCATCAGGCTGCCGGTTCACTACTGCGCATCACATCTGTACAAGGTATCCCATTTCATATGTTTTTCACATAAAGGCTGGTAGCACAGAATATCTAGCTACGCAACAGAAAAATACTCGAAATGAAAGAGCTAAAATTGCACAAATAGAATACTAGATGGCGCGACAATATCATAATCAGAATATAATTAGAAATTTTGAACTTTCGGTTTAGGACATAGACAAACTAACAAAAGCAAGACGCGTCAACGCTGTACTGCAAAACGGTAACAAGTTTGATAAGAGTTTATTACCGCGCTTGCGTCAACTGGCCTTTTAGACGAGGACGGTTTACTTATGGATTGTGTATTTTGTAGTAGCCTTTTAGACAAGGATGTTTAATTAAAAAGCGTTTATTAAAATCAAATAAATTTATTTCCATCGGTAAAATAAACAATAATTTCTGGACATAACAGATATAGAAACAAAAGTTAAATAAACGAAAACGTATTCCTCTTATTAAAATAACAAAAAGATGATAAAAAACAACAGTTATGGTAAACGAAATTCAACAGTTCGTTCAAGGATGGTTCAAGGCAAAAACGTTTTTCGTTTTATTTAGGTTAGGTTTGACGAGTGCGACTGCGCGATGATTTCTGACTCAACTGGCCAGCGCAAAAACAATAATTCGACTTCCTCAATCCTTTGAAATGTCTTGCTTTTGTTAGTTTGTCTATGGCTTAGTACTCATTTGGAATGTAGGTAGTGTTGCCATTCTGTTCCCCAATAAGTAACCGTCTAGTCCAATCTGTATAGAGATAGAGGATAACCGTTTAGTCACTTAATCGCATATCGCTCGCAGTAATAATCGGTTTTCAGAGTAGTAACCTGGCTTTTTTGAACAGAAATACATTACTTATTTTTGTTTTGTTTAGTTTAGATGGGATAATATTAATTATAATATTTCTTTAAATTATAAAGATTTTTTCTCCATACTTTTTATTTAAAGATTTATAGTTTTTTAACTATTGATGTAATAATAAAATGTTTTTTTTTCTGTGTAATAATTTAGAATTGAAACATTTGAAAATTCATAATACGTCAGTTTTTTCAAAATTCCATTTGACAAAACCACAGTTGTTTATTTGGGTTAAGGCTTTGGGGATTTTGCTTTATTTGCATTTTTAATTTTCATTTTACGTGTTCTTCTACTACAGGGGGATTCTACAGGGGGATCCACACGGGGGAAGCTACAGAGGGATTCTCGAATTTTGTACTCTTTGAAGATGTTCGATAGTTTGTTTATTTCAGCAACCACGGAAAAATGAATTATACATTCTAAAGGCACTTTTCTGTGGTAATCAGACTTTTTTCGAAAAGTCGAAGTAGTCGCGTAGTCAGACTTTTTTCGAAAAAAATATTTTTTGAGATATTAACTATACTTATGTTTTTTTAAATAGAACCCCCTGCATGGGCTTCTCGAAAATATATAACCCTCTATATTTATTTTCACTATTAGCCTCAACATTTCAATTTTTTCTTAAAATATCTACTTAGCAGATAGTAGGCTACGTCGAGTAACAAAGTAAACAGTTGTCATAGTGATCCATAGATAAATGAAACAAGTTTAGATTGGAAAGCCCGTACTACTAATACTAATGAAAGCCCGTACTACTAATAATACGGAATCCCCCTACTAGCTACTATACGTGCTCTTGTAAAAAATCCTTTGCTTGTAGTTGTACGTTGGGAGACTATATTCTGAAGAAAGTATAATCGAAATTTAGTGTGATGGAACGTAGATATAAAGTGAATGATTTGCGGAATTTGCCAACAAGAATAATAACAATATTGCTGTATACAGGGTGGCGCCTCTCATACGCCGCGGAAGCTCCAAGGAGAACGGTAGTTTATATTGAAATCAAATTTTGGCAGCATATGTAGGTTAACTGAAAGCATTTTATAAAAATATATAGAATTATACAGGGTGTCCCCCAGAAAAATTACACATCAAAGTTATATTTTATCTAATGGAACACCCTATATATTAATTGATTTTCGAATTCTAGGAAGAAGATAAAGGTGAGTTTTATTAAAGAAGCATATACCTAAAATCTAAGGATTTTGACATATTTCTCATTTTGTGAAAATAAAGAGTAAATTTTAAATTTCGATAACAGCTATCTAAATTTTAGTTAACCTTGTGTAGCCTGATATTTAATTACAATAACTATCGTATGTTAAACCAAATTGAAATTTGACCCGAAAAGTTATACAGGGTGAGACAAAATTAATATGGAAAATTAGTCACTTAAGCGCAAGTTACTCCTTTATTTTAAATGGAACACCCAGTATATTTTTCCGGTGTTCAATGCGGAATTTATATACCTTTAAAATATTATTAAGGTTGCCTACCCCTCAGACAAAGATTTTCCTAGATATTTTAATTTTTATGATTTTGCGTCAGTAGATCTTTATTATTTGAAAAAATCTAGGGTGGCTGTGTGATATACCTTTTGTTTATTTAACAAAAATTAAAGATTGTAGGGTAAAATACTCAACGGTAATAAAAAGATATACGTTTAAAACATATTTTAATTATTACAGAATTAAAACCTAGATATAAACCTAAAATTATGTGACAAAAATTAGCTAGATGAAATCAAATGCTCAAAATGCTCCCTTTCCTGTTAACTGCATATAATGATTGTCTTTTCAAAAGGCCTATTTTCTTGAACTATATTTCAATCTAGCTGATGCTTAACAACAACTAAAATCAATTAACAAGTTCACCTGTAATCTTTATCAATAAATTAGTATTATATGAATTTAAAACGCTGGAAAAGCGATAAGAACTCCTTATCACCCGAATCAAGCGCGCGCGATACTACTTAATGTATTTAATAACATTTACGTAGCGCCTAGCCTATAAAGTTGTCGTAGAAAAAATTCGGCAATGGTTAGAAAAGTCTGTACAAAAAACGCGTGTATTGTGATATTAATTTGTATCATTATATATTGCCTAATGAAAATCAGGACTATAGCCTTCTATAAACAGTATCACAAAATTGTGGAACCCACCAATCCGGTGTTTTGTTATTCCCTCAACGTGGTCGATAAGCTCAGAGATATACAAGGTGAGTGAAAAAAGCATAGACATAAATTTACCGTTGTATTATTATTTACACGATTGTATAATATAGATTTCATGTTCATCTATTTAGTATTTTTTATGATTTGTTACGTATCCTTGTTACTAATCTAAAACAGTTCTTTGACTTGGTGAGCATGTATTGTCAAAGTAATACAAGAATTTTGTGCCATTGAACATTGAACCTATTAAGTGCCTGATTTGTGGAATATAAAACAAAAGTTTTTGTTAAATAATAACTATTTAATCAACATTTTTAATTTATACCAATGAAGACATGTATTGATTACTTCGATTCCAAATAGCCCAAGAACCATTACTTGTACCGATTTTTACTAAGAGACATTTTTACGTAAAAAACAGTTACAGATGAAAAGTTATTACTCTTTAAACCAGTCAAAACATATGTAGGTGGCGTCATCTACAAGTAGGAGTCATATATTGATTCAAAATCAAATTTATCATGTCAAAAAATCAATTTTCATCCAAGAAAATTTCAAGACAAGACACTAAAAACATTAGACGATCAAATCTATTTTTCTAAGGCTCCTTGATTGAAATATAGTGTTTAAATATTATTAATTATATTATAATATTAAAATATCGTTAATTTTAGAGCCTTGAAGACGTTGATATTTTGTTACTAGTGGCGAAATATCTAGATGTTGGGGATATATGCATTAATTTTAGTAATATGTAAATTTTGTTCAATACTATAAAGGATGACTCTTAAATAAGTGCAAATTCTTTTTTGAAAATTATTTTTTTTTAATTTTTAGTTAATAACACTCTTCTTAAGGTACCGGGCAGATTCCTGCGTAGGCGTTCATATTTTTCTTCCTCATCAGATGGTTCTATTAACTGCAGCGACTTGGAGTGCTTGGAAGTCCTGTATACCTGTCCAATAACGAATATTTCTCAGCCAGGATAGCTTCCTTCGGCTTATTCCCCTTTTGCCCCCCTCTATTTTACCCTGGAGAATCAGACGCTGAAAGTGATAGCGTTCTCCATGTAGTATGTGTCCTAAATAGGCTATTTTCCTCTTCTTGGTGATTTCGAAGAGTTCACGTTTTTCTAGACCAGCTCTTCTGAGAATGTCTTCATTCCTCACACGGTCGACCCAGGGCACTCTTACACTGAGAAAAAGGATCTCTCAGTCGAAATGAATATGACTCTGACCCAAAAGATTGGCGCTTTTCAATAGGGCGAAGAACGACATTTCTTTACCCAAAGCATTAACTATCTTTTCATAAGCTTTAAAAAATTACTTTAGAGAATAGAAGAATCTATCTGTCCAAAGTATTTCACTCTTGACCCAAAATTAATATGCAAAGAAGTTCTTGCTACATGAACAGTAGTCTCTTTGATTCATGCAAAAATTCTTGATTGAAAAGGGACATTTTTTGATTAAAGAGGCACTTTTCTTAAACCAATAGCGAATACCATTGACTCAACTAAAATTTACTATAATAAATTATAATATTATGTAGTAAGTAAAGTGATATTATTTTCCTCGATAGTAGGTTGTAATTTCTGCTTCTTCACTCCTTGGTATTTTTTGGGGTGGTTCATCACTCTACAAATTACAAAAAAATGTTACATCACGATTAATCAAAGTAAAGCAAACAGATTGTTAAAATTATAAGCTTTGGTCACATTTTGGTTTTTTTGATACGACTTGAAATTCTAAAGTTTTTGTAATTATTTGCATAAAAAAATCGATACCTATATTCTTATTCTATCTATAGTCATGCATGCATTATCTATACAAATGCATTAGGTAAGTGTCTCTTACCTTCAGATATAGCCAATGAATGCTCTAATTTCCATTTTTTCAGAAATTCCTTTAAGGAATCCATATATCCTAAAATTTGTCCATAAAAAATGACAAATGCATGTTAATAACGATCACTAATTTGTTATATGATATGCGTTTAAAAAGCAAATTATGCAAAATTCCAAGTGGAAAATTCCAAGCAACAAAACCCGTGCGTACTATGATGTGCGACCTATGAAATCCGACGTGAGACTGATCGGACTGCCGACTGATTGTATATACCGTCCATCGTCATCGTCTTTGCGTGTCGTTATTATTTTTCATCAAAAGAGTATTTAGCTATTGGAAAAATGACCATGTTTCTTGAATGAAGTACTTCCTAGCGTATTTTTGTTATTATCTTAAAACAAAGTAACTTGCACTTGGTTGAATGAAAATAGATTCAAGAGAAATATTCGAATTTTTCAAGAGAACAAGTTTTCTTGAGTTAAGAGAGTTTTTTTTCAGGCAAAATATTTTCTTTCACGCTAAAATAAATTCTCTTGCCACTAATTTTTTTTTTCAAGAACGATGACGACTTTAGTTCAAGTCTATCTTTTTTATCAGTGTAGCATTCGTCGTAAGGTCCACATTTCGAAGGCTTCAATTCGGTTTATTGTTGCTACCTTCAGTGTGCATGCTTCCACACCATATAACAAAACGGACCAGACATAGAATAGACAGTTAATAACATAGTATCTTCATAATATGGCAACATAGATAGTAGATTAAATTTATAAAAGAAAACTCAGAAAGGGTCCAGCGGTACTCAAAATATAAGCGAAAAATCTTCTTTTTTTATTTTCCACCAGGACTGAACATTTTTGCACTTATTTAAGACTCGCCCTGTATGCTATGGGGGTCTTTTCATCTATATCATGATTAATAGTTAAGTATTTAGATATTTTTGGCATTAAAAAATGTTGCTAATCTAATCTAATCAAGTAAAATATGTGTGTTAATGTAACTTCATTAACCTTGATGCAATGCAATATTTCTGTATAAGTATCTTCAAAATCCACTTATAAATACATTAAGTATTTATGTTGTCAAGTCCAATAATACAATAATTAAAATGCAAAAAATAGGATGTTTCAACATCAACGTTGTTCTTTTAGACAACAATTATGAGTATGATTTTATTGCGAAATTTTTTTTTTTCGAAAAAGCAATGTTATTGAAATAAAGCAGATACTTATAAGAATAAAATAAGAGCTTGCGTAAGAGTCCAAAAATACTTATGTGTTATTATGTTGTCTTGTGTTATAATTTTGCTCCTTAAGCGGGATTTACACTTTTAATGTAAATGCAAAATGAATCATTCAGAGTAAAACCATCCAGTGTACGAGCCCTAACAACTATATGTTGAGATAAGGACATATTTTGGAATTATTGCCCTGGTTTTTCAAAATGACTGAAAAAAAAATATGTTTATTTTTTTAAATATAAACATAGCCATATATCCTAAACAACTTGACAATATTTTTATGAATTTGTAAATTAATCCATATTTATAGTAGCGGATTTTGTTCATAAAAGGACAAATTTGCTGACAACTAAATGTTGGGACAAGTATTTTTAAATAATTAATATCATCATAGGCGGCTTTGCTATAAACGTCACAAATGTCGCAAACTGTTTACTTCAGCATTGACAGCTTGTAAGTGACTCGATACTTCGAGTAGTGAGATTTACTGTAAGTAATTTATTTTTTTTAATTTTCAATTTTGTTAATTTAATTCAAAGTAATGGCCCGTGGAAAAGCTACAAATCAAAAACTACGCGAAATTATCATTCGTCAATACAGTACGGGAAAAACAATTCGAAAAATTTCTGATGATTTAATTATTCCAAAAACCACGGTCTTTAAAATAATAAAAAAATACGGCGAATTTGCCAATGTAGACGTTAGAGGTAAAAATTCGGGAAGGCCAAGAGTTGTATCTCAGAGAGACAAAAGGTAGTAAAATTTTGCAAGTCTGCGAGAAGAAGTACTCTTCGCGAAGTAACAGTTAAATGGAATACTGTAACTGGTTTAAATATATCATGAGAATGTTGCCGAAAATATATCCATAAATGCGGTCTGGGGTTTTACAAGGTAAACTTTATTTTGTGTGGATAATCAATTACCTGAAGATTATTGATACAAATTCTTATTTAGGCCGAAGAAAAACCGCTACTGACAGAAATTCAAAAGAAAAATCGCTAAAATTGGGCAAAATCTAAATTATCGTGGACACAAAATGATTGGAATAACGTCATATTTAGTGATGAGTCTAAATTTGATGTTTGCGTTAGAGATCATCGAAAACGAATTATACGAAATAAAGCAGAAGCCTTTCATAAAGATTGCTTGAAGAGGGTTGTTAAATTTCCTAAGGGGATTATGGTTTGGGGTTGCATGTCAGCAAGAGGTTTGGGCAAATTAAATTTTATAGATGGCACTGTTAACGCCCAAAAATATCAACATATACTTGAGACCTCACTTTTGCCTAGTGCTCAAGAATTGTTTCCAAACGAAGACTATATTTTCCAACAAGATGGAGCATCGTGCCATTCAGCAAAATCAACTAAAAATTGGTTCGGTAATAATAATATAAAAGTTCTATCCCATCCTGCAAGTAGTCTGGACCTCAATGTTATAGAAACTGTGTGGCCATAAAATGAAGCAATATTTAAGAAACCACCCTCAACGAACACTTTTTGATTTGCGTTCAAAACTGCAGGAAATTTGGGATAATTTTTCTCCTCAAATGTGCCAATCTTTGGTAAATACAATGCCATTAAGAATTCAGGCAGTTGTTAAGGCGAAAGGTGATGTAACTCCGTATTAAACAAATTTCTTGTTGTGCTGTCCCAATATATAGTTGTCAGCAAATTTGGCTTGATTTTGGCAAAATAAGGTATTATCAAAAGTGATTTGTTTGCAAAGTTATAAAAATATAGTAAAATTGTCTAGATCATATTGTAATGTTTGAATTTAGAATAATAAACAAAATAAATTGAGTCGTTTTAACAAATTATTATTTTTATTGCAAAAAAAGACCTTGTCCCAACATATAGTTGTTAGGGCTCGTAGTTATTGATTTTATGTAGGTTGCCTTTTAAGTTTTTACAATCGCTTGCAAACCAAAATCATGTGAACTCCCCCTGAAGATCATAAATTTAACAGCGGAATTTAATTACCTCGGCAGTTTGGTTTCGGACAAGGCCCATATCGACTCTGAAATTGAGCACAGGATTAGCAGCGCCTCAAGAGCATTCTGGAAATTTAAAGACATGGTTTTCTACAATCATGACTTGAGTACAAAAACGAAACTTGCAGTGTACCGAGCAATTATAATCCCCACCATGTTATATGGGAGTGCCGTACCGTCGGCACATGCATGCATTAAACAAGTTGCAACAGAGACACCTTAGACAGCCCCCATCCCCAAGTACCTTCGAGATCGTGCCTTGAAGTTGTACGAGAAAATCGGTACTATCCCCAATAGTACCCTAAAAATCTTCGATTACAATCCCGAGGACTATAGAAACTTCAAATACCTTAAAACCATTCTTCTAGACAATTAACTTTGTCCCCCCCCCCTTCTCATAATATAGTCCTCCCATTACCCCACACACCCCCCTTTTTTTCTTCCCCACATATTAGCAGGAATAATAGCTGACCATTCTTCGGCGGCTGATTTCTCGGAGGTGGACTTTTTTTTAGTGGGTATCAACACCGAGTCCCACACTGTCTAGGGGTTATTTCTATGACCGTCTCTCTCGAGATGGTCATGGAAATGATCACTATTCGTCTATAAAAGATTTTTCAACCACCCCCTCACAAAAAAAAAACCTTAGACAGCTCTTAAGAATCCGATGGTTCCATCATGTCTCAAACATATCGGTCCTTGAAAAAGCTAACTGCGAAAGTATTGAAGTCATGGTTACAAAATCCCGCTTAAGATGGGCTGGTCACGTATGCAGAATGCAAGAAAACCGCATATCAAAATCTCTGCTTTACGATGAGCTTGTAGACGGTAAGAGGAGGCCGAGTGGACAACTCAAAAGATATAAGGATATTTTCCACGAAAACTTAAAGGGGATTAACACGCAGAATGAGTGGGAAGAAGCAGCTTACAATAGAACTCGGAGAAGAGTGAATAAAGAGAAATGGAGAAGAAATGTAAACTCAGTTAACAGCGATAACCAAAAAGTAAAGAGGCAACAAAGCAATGATTTTTGAATGTCCGGAATGCGGTAGGCAGATAACATCACGTATCGGGCATTCAGTCACAGAAAAGCTCATGAAAGAAAACGCCTTGCGTGACCATCTTCTGATGCGTGTCAAATACTCGTCAGCGAGTAATGGCAGTATATGTATAATCGCTTGTTTCTTCGGTTGTACCTACTGGTCATATATCGCAACCATTCCATTAGATGATCGAAGAACTGTTAATGCCGAATGGTGTACAACAATTTGTTTGCCAATGGTCTTCGATGAAATAAGGAAATAGAACAAAAAACGTCGCATCATTCTTCATCACGACAATGCCAGCTCCCATAAATCACGTCAAACAACTGAATATTTGAAGGAGGAATATATCGAAATAATGTCTCATTGCCCGTATTAACCCGATTTATCGCCTAATGACTTTTTCTTGTTTCCTACCGTTAAACAAAAGATGCGCGGACAGCGATTTTTATCACCTGGGGAAGCTGTTGAAAATTTTCAAAACCATGTTTCTACGATATCAGTTTCAGAGTGGAAATAGCTATTTATGTAACAACTTGCGAAATGAATGTGGTTTAAGCACGGGACGCAAAATTGTGGACAATGCGTCGAGTGCTTAAAACACTCTTTTCGCAACGAATTTCATACAAGATTTTTTGTGAAAGCGGATAATTTGAGATTTTCATGCTATTACTATTACTTTTTTTAAACATTTTTTAAAATGTTCTGGTAATCGGTTTCTGGTAATCGGTTGTTTATCCATTGTTTAATGACAAAGTTCTGTCAGGTTCAAACGTCGCCGTATTTCCTACAAAGTTTTGTGAAAAAATGAGTCATAATGACGAGTCTTTCGATATCCAACAAGCTTCTGAAACTGCGCTATCCACGTTAGTGCCCGAGAAGTCGAAAAACCTATACGAGACCACCTACAACAACTTTGAAACCTGGGTCAAAGAAAAACATGTTGAGAATTTCACAGAAAAGATATTGCTAGCCTATTTCCTGAAGTTATCAACTACCTTAAAGCCGCCAACTCTGTGGAGTAAATATTCGATGCTCCGCACCATGATTTACCTGAACAGAAACGTAGATATTAGCAAATTCACAAACCTTATTGCATTTTTAAAAAGAGAAGCTTCCGGATATCAGGCAAATAAATCAAAGGTATTTACAAAACTGGAAATAGAACGCTTTATGAAAGAAGCCGATGACAAAGAATTCCTGTTAGCTAAAGTTGCCTTAATCGTTGGAGTATTTGGAGCATGTAGGAGGGAAGAAATTACGTTTTTGACCGTAGATGCCATTAAAGATTGTCGGTCATTTATTAGTGTGAAGATTCCGAATACAAAAACTCATTTTCCAAGAGTGTTTACGATTACTGAGAGACCAATAGATGGTGTCTCAATTTCTTACATGTATTTCGTAAGTACGCAAAACTTCGACCACTCAATGTGACGCATCAGCGATTTTTCTTGATGTATCGGAAAAATCAATGGTGTACCCTGCAAGTTGGAATCAATACAGTTGGGGGTATGCCAAAAAAGATAGCGGAATTTCTTGGACTCTCCAACGCCATTGAATACACTGGTCATTGGTTCCGGCGCAGTTCTGCAACAATGCTGGCAGATTCAAGAGCGGACATAACAGTTTTAAAGCGATATGGAGGTTGGCGATCAAGCTCGGTTGCTGAAGGTTACATTGAAAATTCAATTGAACAGAAAACCGAAATAGCAAAAAGAATCATGGGACAGAAAGATACGCCAAATAAGAAATTAAAAGCAGTTCACGTGTATAGAAGCAGAAGCTTCCAAGCATTGCCAGTACAAGAAATTTACTTATTCCGACTCCTACAACTTGCATTTCTCTTAGAGACGAAAAGTTGGATGCTCCTTGTATTCACTTTAATAATTTAAATAATTGTACCTTTAAGATTTATAATAAATAAATATTTTCATTGTTTCTAACGTTTAATTTTTTACTTTTAGGCACGTAGTTTCCACACAGTACAAGTAGTTTTAACACAGCCTTTATTAAAAACTCTTAAGTTCGACAAAATAATTTAAATTAAAAAAAATACAATTTTATTTCAGATACCGAAGTACTAGATGACATGTCAATATTTTTCCTGGATACATCTTGTAATTCTTTTTCAAATGGAAAGTTAGTCGTCACACCACGTCAAGCCTGTGCTGTAGAAAGTGCAGCCGTCATGAATCCTAACAGAATAGTATATCTTCTTTTTGCGTCACCAGGTATATTTCTATAAATAGTATGTATATTGTTTTACAACCATATGACACACTTTATATTGTTTTTTTTGTTTTGGGTACTTTAACAACAACAAAACTATTGAATTAATATTAAAAATAATTTCAAGTCCAACTCTGTTTTTTTAAATATTATTTAAACTGATTATAACAGGGTGGCACCTCTCATACGCCGCGGAAGCTCCAAGGAGAACGTTAGTTTATATCGAAATGAAATTTTGGCGGCATATGTAGGTTAACTGAAAGCATTTGACAAAAATATATAGAATTATACAGGGTGTCCCCAAAAAAAGTTACACATTAAAGTTGTGTTTTTTTCTACTGGAACACCCTATATATTAATTGATTTTCCGAATCTAGGAAAAACATAAAGGTGAGTTTTATTAAAGAAGCATATACCCAAAATCTAAGAATTTTGACATACATATTTCACATTTTGTGAAAATGAAGAGTAAATTTTAAATTTCGATAACAGTTAACTACATTTTAGTTGACCTTGTATAGCCTGATATTTAATTATAATAACCATTGTATGTTAAATCAAATTGAAATTTGACCTGGAAAGTTATACAGGGTGAGACAAAATTAATATGGAACATTAGTCACTTTTAAAAGCAAGTTGCTCCTTTATTTTAAATGGAACACCCAATATATTTTTCCGGTGTTCAATGGGGAATTTATATATCTTCAAAATATTATTAAGGTTGCCTACCCTTCAGACAAAAATTTTCCTAGATATTTTAATTTTTATGATTTTGCGTCAGTAGATCTTTATTATTTGAATAAATCTAGGGTGGCTGTGATATACCTTTTGTTAATTTAACATAAATTAACGATTGTAGAGTAAAATACTCAATGGTAGTAAAAAGATACACGTTTAAAACATATTTTAATTATTACAGAATTAAAACTAGATATAAACCCATAATTATGTGACAAAAACCAGCTAAATGAAACCAAATGGTTAAAATGCTTCCTTTCCTGTTAACTGCATAAAATGATTGTCTTTTCAAAAGGACCTTCTCATTTTTAAAGGCATTATGTGGAGTTCTACCTCGAAAAGCAGCTACAATAATTGCTCTCATGTTGTCGACAATAGTTGGTCCAGTTTTGTAAAGACTGTCTTTAACATATTATCCCTATAAAAAACAGACTAGATAAAATCAGAAGCATTTATATATAAGTATTCTATTACTAATTTAACTAATCGAAACATCAAAATAAAAACATTAAATCACCACAATACACCAAAACACTACTTTTACACTGGACGCGCGTTTCGCTAACCATGTTAGCATCATCAGCAGATGATTATAAACTAAAGTACAATCTACAAGTTCAGCGTTTATATACTCGCTCAGTGGGCACCGATAGGGCGTCGCAAAATCTAGCCAACCGAGTCAGAGCCCACTGAGCGTAACAGTTAGATTTCCGCCACTAGAGTAGTAGGAACAAAGAACTTGAAGGAATTGGACCGTTGTCTCTGTTCATACTATCTTTACATTTATTAATTCTGATGCTTTCATATGCATCTAATTGCCTGTAATTTGAGACTTGTTTAATTAATTTTAAATTATTAAGATCTATACAATGTTCTTTATCAACAATATGTTCGGCAACGCAAGATTTATCCGGTCTACCATATCTTATCTGAGCTAAATGTTCTTTAAATCTAGTTAATATTGATCTTCTAGTTTGCCCAACATATTTCTGATTACAATCTTTACAAGAAATTTCATAAATACCCGACCTTTCCAGTGGAGGTGTTTTATCCTTTGGATTACCTAATAATTGTTGTAATTTATTATTAGCACTATACACAAATTTATAATTGACATTCTTAAAAATTCCTTTTAGACCACGGGATAACTCTCTATCAAATGGTATCGAAAAATATTTAGACGTATCTTTCTCCACTTGAAAAGTCGAATTTTCAGAAATCATTAACCTATATCTACCTTTTCTAATTAATTTATCAACTAGTGAAGGAGAATATCCATTACACTCAGCTACATTCCTAATGTAACCTCTTTCTATTGCATATCTTTCGTTGGAAAGTGGGAAACTAAGTAATCTATGAACTAAGAAATTTAAACTAGCCATTTTATGTTCAACACTATGATGTGATTCATTAGGAATATATCTGCGTGTGGTCGTATTTTTCCTATAGATATCAAATTCCTAATACATCTAGAAATGGTAATCTGTCGTTGTTCCGCAATTTCAATGTGTCGCAATTTCATGCGTAAATTTAATGGAAGGAAAACGATTATTTAGCTTAGAAATAAAATTATCTATGGTGTCTGAATGTGTGTCAAAAACAGCAAAAATATCATCCACATACCTAAACCATACTCTTGGAAAATACTCAAACTGATTCTTAGCCTCCACTTCAAACCTGCTCATGAATAAATTAGCCAAAAATGGAGACAATGGATTACCCATTGCTGTACCTTCCCGCTGTTCAAAAAAGTTGTTTCATACATAATTTGAGTTTCATAGTTTGAGCTTACATCGCATCGTTAAAAAGTGCTCTGAATTAGCCTACATATGCTCACAAAATTTTATTTCAATACAAACTTTCGTTCTCCTTGGAGCCTCTGCGGCGTATCGGAAGCGCCACCCTGTATTCATTGCAACAATATTGATGAGGGCTAATTAATATTGAATAAGGAAAATCGGACCAATTGAAAGATTTGAATAAATAAAACTTAAAATAAAATAATTTTAAGTCTATGGGATAAATAATATCCAGGTCAGCAATTTAAAAATATTATTTTTGACTTTTTTATTGTGAATTTGAAATCTTAATGTACGATCTAATAATATGCATAATATTAATCGTAGTTATTATAAATAAATCAATTTCTGCAAACTAGTTTCTAATGCTCTATATGTTTTGAATGGGTTACCACCCTCCATATTGCACAAATTTATTTTTCGTTCAATTTTATGTATAGCCCTTTCAACAGATCTTCTTCCGAATGCATTTTGTACTCTGTGTTGTAAGTAGTTTTATTGTATGTGATTTTCCGTATTTAATGTTTTACGCCACGTCATTGTTAAGTTCTAAATTCATCAATATTGTAACGATGAATATATTAAATATTTAAACAAACATAGCCGGACTTGAAATTAGTTTAAAAAATTGTGTTTAAATGCCTGAAACAAAAAAAAAATAAGCGTGGCATATCATTGCACTCAGGAGACTGAATTTGTTCAAAAAATTAACTAAAAAATGCAGGTCCGTATTAAAAAAAAATAAGTTGGCCTATACAGGGTGAGTTTCCTACGATGTTCTCTATGGGTATCTCGGAAACTACTTGAGATAGAGAGTCGGTTAAATGGGGAAAGAATTGCAGTTTTGTGGGGTCATAAATATGCGCCTTCAAAAGTTCATGGCTTACTAGATATTTCGAAAAAAACAAATTTTGGCTATTTTAAAAATTGTCCCTAATTCCATTATAATCTATTTTAGACAAAAAGTTTTCAGATAAAAGTTGTAGATAATCACATCCCTAATGAGATTGTGTTCTCCGACTTTTTCTAAAGCCTGTCATTTTTGACATATGACACAAACATATGTTTTATTAAATGGAAACCATAGTTGGCCATGACTTCATAAAAAGCGCCATTTTTTACGCTTTTCAGCGATATAAGCTATAATATGTTTCTTTCGCAAAATTACTGAGTTATAGCCAATTCTTATCTTTCTTGACTAATTTCACTTAGTTAGCCATGGAAACAAGTTCAATCGTTGATTAAAATAAACAAAAATTGTAAATAAGAGTTTTTCAAATGAAGAAAAGCGTGTAGGATTATTGGTTCAACTTTTCTTGGCTATACAGTTTCGAAGGTACGTTGGCCGTTGACCGGTGAACGTTACTTCGTTTTTTAGAGAACGGTTTTCAAGACATGTTAGAAAAGTTAAATTTTGATACTAGCGCATTGCAAAATAAAAACACTAAATCACCACAATACATCAAAACACTTTTACTTTTATACTGGCACTGTATGATGCTGTACTTTTCAGTGTAAAAGTAAAAGTGTTTTGGTGTATTGTGGTGATTCAGTGTTTTTATTTTGCTGTGTAACACCAAATGTTCCAACCCTCAACTGTAACTAGCGCATTAATAGAGTGGTTCAAACATGACTTTCATTATGACACACTAAACCCCCCCCCCCACAATGAAAGAAATGTTAAAAATTATTTATATCATAATTATGTTGACTCAGGGATAGAAAGAGGTGGACCAATTGCATGGGTCTCCTCGGTCACTTAACCTATCCATTTTAGATTTTTTTATGCGGTATGGGTAACAACAAGGTTTACAAAAGAACTTATGAATTGAGAGAAGCACTCGAAGAGGCGAAACAGGAGAAGCTTAATTAAGTCGACCGGTCGTTCTGTGAGAATAGCTAGAAATTCAGTTTTAAAAAGATGCATTTATGTACTCAAAACAATTGCGGATTTTTTGAAAATTTTCTAAAATAACTTGTAGTGATATTATTTCTTAAGTTTTAGTTTGTGTAATGCAAATTGTAAAGAGCCGTTTAATAATATATTTTGTCTTTTTATAAGTTATAAATCATAACAAAATTAGAACATTCGTTATGTCTAAAAAGTTAGCGTCTAAGGTCACAAATTCTGCTGCAGCACGTATATGGGCGTTACATGTCCTTGTATTCTTTAGTCATAGATATTCATCCATCTTGTTCTTTTTTTGTTTCGTTCTTACTTACTCAATGATCATTACTTTTTAAAAATTTTCGGCCATAATTTCGGGGGGCGGTTTGAACCCCCAAAACACCCCCCCAGATACGGCCCTGCTTTCTCCCAATGATTTCTTTTTGTGGGGTTATGTAAAATCCAAAGTGTATGGTCATAATAGGGCTAATAATCTGGATGAGCTTCAAGTAAAAATACGAGAGGCTTTTCAAACTATTAGCCCTAATATGTTAGCCAATGTCAGCCGGGGATTTTACGACCGCCTAGGCTTCTGCTTAGCACAAGGTCTTTTTGAACACTTGTTATAACTTTTTTATATTTAGAGTAATATTTTAGTTTTTTTCGGGTTTAGAGAATTTATTTATTTTTAATTTTGGCTTGTAAACACACTCAAATAATAAATATTTAAGTATTTTTATTTTAAATGTTACCTAGTAAAGGTCAACACTTAAAATGAAAATAATAAATACTCGGCACTCCTCGCGTCGTATCCCTAGTGTCACGACCGACCCGTCCAAGCACAACTGCAACTGCGTGCTGCCTGACCAGCCCATGACCAGCCGACTAGCCGGCAGTAAATCTCTAGTACGAAGGCAAATCGGGTAAACGTAAATTCGTCCGGCAACTTGCTATGTTACTAGTAGCCTGGTCTTCTCTGTATAAGCCGACGCCTGGAGTCTGAAGAGGACAGAGAACAAACAGACGTTCAACGTGTACAGTTGCCGTGCGCTAAATTCAAAATAAATTCCTTTTAGATAAATATGTAGATAAATTGTAAATAAGTTATAAATAGTTCTTTAAGTAGTTTTATCGTTATTTTTTTTACTTAGTGTTAAATAAATTGTGTTTAAATAAATTAAACTTTCTATCCACACGGAACCGACGAAAAACGTAACACATTGTACCTCATTCGTCCGCAATTAACTTTTATTTTAGTATTTGTTTCGAAATTTTTGCGAAGATTTTCTAAATATATTTTTTTATATTAAAAGAACTTTCTAATATCTTACTCTTTTTAGGTTATTGTTATTGTGGAAATATGGAGGCATATACATGGACTTGGACGTGATAGTAATAAAATCTTTAGAATCTTTACCCAACAACTTCGCAGCCGCTGAATCAGGCTCAAAAATAAACAACGATGTTATTGGATTCAGCAAAAAAGGTGTTGGCCACGATCACGTTCAAGTAAGTCTGGAGGATCTCTCGGACAAGTACAAAGGGGACAGTTGGACAGGGAATGGACCAGATATAACCACAACGTAAGTAGTTTTACTTTTGTAGAGAGCTCATTACTAGAAAACAGCTGTGTATTTCGCCACTGAAACAGAAAGAAATAAAATAATTTGAATATTTTAATTATTTAATAATTAGAATCCAGTAGAAATTAACTTCGCAGTGGATCTTTACTTGTAAACAAATTTATCTATTCAAACAAAAAAATAGGGTTTCATTAGATTAGAATTATTCTGCATCTGCAGTTGTATCCTTTTCACAGAGACTAATAGTTTGGAGATTTTGAACTTGAATATTTAATACATATAGTCCTTTGCCAATAGCATGTCATCAGCTAATACAAAAAGAACCCCACATTTGTCAGACTGTCACACTGATGAGGTTTTGATTTAGGGTGGGACAAAAAAAGTGGCAAGTCGGTACCAAAATATGTTTTACCTTGTGTTCACTTTTCACATTTTCGTTTAAAGAAAAATCATATTTTAAATTTCAATCTAGAGCGGCTGTGTTAAAAATACTAATTTTTAATCAAGGAGCCTTGGAAAAATAATGTTGATCATCTAATGTTTACGTGTCTTGTGGTTAAAAGATGCCCAAATCGTCATTTTAATCATATCTCAATTTTTTTAAATGGGACAAAGCATTTTTTACGAATAATTTGGTACCACACACTTGGTATTTCGAGCCAAATTATCGTTATAATCCGCATGTTACAATTTGAAATAAACCATATGCGAAAACGTCAAACGTTGACATATGACATGTCATTCTATTGAGACTGTCATTTTCTATCGAATAAAGTAAAAAAATACCGGGGCGTGGTGCCATTTAAAAATCAAAAGTTGTAGTCATTGCCGGTGAAACAGGAAGTGACCAAGAACAATTGAATACGCCAAGCAGTCCTAATTTATGTCATATACTGACATACCAAATCTTGCTTTTTTTATCTGAGAAAATAAAAAAGTTATAGGGGTAAGCTATTTTTGAGACGCACCCGGTATATTAAAAAATAATTTATCATTTCTTTAAAGTTTTATTTACATAAAATTACTATTTATTTAAATATATATAACTACTCTTTATTAAAAATGTCTTCAAAAAATGTAAGACTTACAAGAGTCTTGCATCAAGACCAAGGCTGTGCCAAGGCCATGGACAAGGGAGCAGCTTTATCGCACGAGCGAAAAACACCCTTACTTATATATTAATAAATAAAATATGTTTCTTCGTTATGGTCATTTTGTTTTTGTGAATTGGAAAATTTTTTTCCCGGGCCGGTTTCCGCTTCCCCATCGATGTTTTATAAAAATAAAAAAATAACATAATTATAATTAAACATAATAAAATTACATAATTATTTCTATTCTTTTTTTCAGATTGGCCAAACGACTCTGCAATACCGGTGACGTATCAAAAATGGCCGGCCAAACCTGCAAGGATTTCCAGATTTATCCATCGAACACCTTCTATCCCATTTCCTGGCAGGACTGGGAATCCTACTTCAATCCGGACAAGATGGATCACGTGATGGAAAAGATCAAAGACAGCTACGTCGTCCATGTTTGGAATAAGCTGAGCAAGGACAAACGAGTTCATCTCTATGAAGAGTCGCCATACTTGAAGTTAGCAAGGGAATACTGTCCCGAAACTGTGAGAAATTTGGAGGAAGCGTTTTAAAGAAAATGTGATTTGAGAAGCATACAAAACCGATGTCGTATTCTAGATATAATTTTGATATTTTTTGTAAAATGTATTTATTTTGGTTTCATAAAATAAATTATTTTTTTATTTACTTCCTTCGTCTACTGACTACCTCATTGTCGATAAGTAGCGTGAAGTAAAATGATCTGGTATGACTCCCCAACTAGCATTTATAGTGGCAGATACGTAACTGCTACTATCAAAGCCACTACAAAGTGGGCGGTGACCATCGGCGGCTACGTCGGCATCGTATATTCGTAGCTGCTAAGTAACTGCGACCAAAATGGGGAAAGATTTTGAGTAGCCGGGTAGTGTCATGGGTAGTTTTTGCCACTACAAGAGTTACTATGATGTGTTACTGTAAATGGCCTACTGGTGAATGCGACTTATCCGTTACGAAGCTGCCTAGTCGCGGGTTCGTGGCAGCCAAGTGTTAGCCACCGACATGTGGAACTTTCGTTAAACTGTTGAACTTAAAGTCCCTAGATATATAAAGTACCGCAATTGGTTTGTTCAATGTTATTGGCGCCAAAATGGCGGATTTTTGGGGTATTTCTGGTAAAAATGTAGTGGTAGGACTGTTTAAGTGTCACATTTGTCTGTGCATTTGTCTGAATTTGTCATGTCAAATGTTGAGAAGCTGTCAATTTCAGGGTAAAAATATTTATCCACATATTTTAAAATAATTATAAAGCAACTAAAATGCTACAAATTTATTAGTTAATAATGTATAGACGTCGATATCTTTAGTGAAGAAATGTGTATTACACGAAAAGGCCGCCATTTGATGTGTTTTCTAACATCGTCGATATTCAATACACGTTAGGTCAGAAAAACGTAACACTTTGTACGTCATTCGTCCGCAATTAACTTTTATTTAGTATTTGTTTCGAAATTTTTTGCGTGAGAATTTCCTAAATATATTTTAAATTAAAATATCTTCCTAGTATCTTACTCTTTTTAGGTTATTGTTATTAGAAATAATATGGAGGCATATACATGGACTTGGACGTGATAGTAATAAAATCTTTTAGAATCTTTTACTCCAACATCCTTCTGCAGCCGCTGAATCTAGGCCTCAAAAAATAAACAACGATGTTATTGGATTCAGCAAAAAGGCCACGATCACGTTCAAGTAAGTCTGGAGGATCTCTCGGACAAGTACAAAGGGGACAGTTGGACAGGGAATGGACCAGATATAACCACAACGTAAGTAGTTTTACTTTTGTAGAGAGCTCATTACTAGAAAACAGCTGTGTATTTCGCCACTGAAACAGAAAGAAATAAAATAATTTGAATATTTTAATTATTTAATAATTAGAATCCAGTAGAAATTAACTTCGCAGTGGATCTTTACTTGTAAACAAATGTATCTATTCAAACAAAAAAATAGGGTTTCATTAGATTAGAATTATTCTGCATCTGCAGTTGTATCCTTTTCACAGAGACTAATAGTTTGGAGATTTTTTGAACTTGAATATTTAATACATATAGTCCTTTGCCAATAGCATGTCATCAGCTAATACAAAAAGAACCCCACATTTGTCAGACTGTCACACTGATGAGGTTTTGATTTAGGTGGGACAAAAAGTGGCAAGTCGGTACCAAAATATGTTTTACCTTTGTGTTCACTTTTCACATTTTCGTTTAAAGAAAATCATATTTTAAATTTCAATCTAGAGCAGTTGTGTTAAAAAATACTAATTTTTAATCAAGGAGCCTTGGAAAATAATGTTGATCATCTAATGTTTACGTGTCTTGTGGTTAAAAGATGCCCAAATCGTCATTTTAATCATATCTCAATTTTTTTTAAATGGGACAAAGCATTTTTACGAATAATTTGGTACCACACACTTGGTATTTCGAGCCAAATTATCGTTATAATCCGCATGTTACAATTTGAAATAAACCATATGCGAAAACGTCAAACGTTGACATATAACATGTCATTCTATTGAGACTGTCATTTTCTATCGAATAAAGTAAAAAAATACCGGGGCGTGGTGCCATTTAAAAATCAAAAGTTGTAGTCATTTCCGGTGAAACAGGAAGTGACCAAGACCAATTGAATACGCCAACCAGTCCTAATTTATGTCATATACTGACATACCAAATCTTGTTTTTTTATCTGAGAAAATAAAAAAGTTATAGGGGGTAAGCCATTTTTGAGACGCACCCGGTATATTAAAGTTTTATTTACATAAAATTACTAAAAATACTATTTGTTTAAATATATAGCCTATGTAGAAACTACTCTTTAGTAAAAATGCCTTCAAAAAATGTAAGACTTACAAGTAGTCAAGGGAGTCTTGGTTTTGGTATTGCATTTAGCCATTACTAATTTTGTCAGTGAAATAGCCTGGCAAGTATGAAGTTTTTTGCAAAGCACTATGTGGAATAGTCTCGTAGTTATTAGATTTAGATTTGCTAACTAGATAATAGCTCTCATCACTCATCAGGAAATCTAATCAAATTCTGAGCTTATATAGAGTATTCCAATAAGAGGGTTTTGGATGTTGATAACAAATAAAATAAAAGTTTCTTAACATACCTGAAAGTTATTTATGGCAGTGTACCGGGTGTCCCACTAAGAATAGCTCTCGGCTGTATCTCGAAAAGTATTAGCCGTAGGGCTTACGGAAAAAAATATTAATAACTAAAGGGGCTATGAAAATTATGTAATATTGCTGGAAATTATTTTCAAGTTTGTAAAAGGGCCGCTAGGTGGCGCAACTGCTATGGAAAATAAGAAAATATATTTTTTACAGAATTTTGCTTAGATAATGGGTACTATAAATAATAGCTTCATAATCTTCAGTAATTTTTTTTTTTTTGTTAGAACCATTTTCCCATATCTGCTAAAATAAAGTGGTGGGGGAAGGTTAGATCTATCTTTATTTAAATGTTAATAACTCCGGACTGGATGATCAGAATCCAACAAACGAGGGCTCGTTTAAAAGGGCGTTTCTTACTTAACATTATACCATAATAATAATAATAAGGTTTTGGTTTGGTGCCTTTATTATTTGAAGTAGTTGAAGTTGTTGGCATTTTGAAAAAGCAATCAAAAGATAAAAAACGCTGCTAAGACTATCAAATTGTTGATCTAATAACAATTTGACGTTTATACTAATTACGTCAAAAGCAACTTTTTTCCAAAGCCTACCATGACTTCACTGAATCATCGTTTCTTGTTCACTATTATTAATATCTTAATTATTAGATATTAATACATCTGATATTATGATATTCTGGTATATCGTCGATTTTAAAATAAACTAACTGTTTCTATCTTATTTTTAGGTTAGAATGGGCATAATCAGGAGGGCTACTGATACCGTGTAAGGTAATTAAGGGCTTATTTTTTGGTATTTATTATAATTTTGCTAATATCTTCGGTTTGCTAATATCTTCGACTTTTTAAGCTTTTACTACTCTTTACTATCAGTTAAAATTAATTATTGCATTTAATTTTTTTGAAAAAACGTGCAATGTTTGTTAAATTGTATGACAACGCCCCCTAGCGTCTACGTTCAAAAGCTTATTATTATTGTTTATATGGTACAATATAGAGTAAGAAACGCTCTTTTAAACGAGCCCTCGTTTGTTGGATTCTGATCATCCAGTCCAGAGTTATTGATATTCAAATAAAAACAGATCTAACCTTCCCCCACCACTTTTTTTGGTAGATAGGGGAAAATGGCTCTAACAAAAGATATTCAAAATTTACTGAAGATTATGAAGCTATTACTTATAGTACACCTTATCTCAGAAAAATTGTGTAAAAACTCCATTTTCTTATTTTTTGTTGCAGTTGCGCCCCCTAGCGGTCGTTCTACAAACTTGAAAATAATTTCCAGCAATTTCCCATAGCTTCTTTAGTTATAAATATTTTTTTCCGCAGCCGCTACGGCTAATACTTTCCGAGATACCGCCGAGAGCTATTCTTAGTGGGACACCCTGTATAGCAGGACAGTGTAGAATTATACGTGGAACACAATATCTGCCAAATGGCCACAACGACTTCTCTGGCAGCACACAGTTCTTTTGTTGACATTTTCCATTACTGCTGAACAAATTTCGAGAGTTATGTTATAAATTATTTGCCTAATTTCTTATTTCAATTGTTGAATGAACCAATGATACCCTCAGTCCAAAAACCGCACCAAACTGTGACATGGTGTGACAATCGTGTGATACGATCTGTCTGGATTTCGTGGCAAATCATAATATAACAATTATTATTGAACGAAGAAATTAGGCGAATAATTCGTGACAATGTAACTCCGGGACTGTGTTCAGCAGTAATGGAAAATTTTAAAAAAAGAATTGTGTACTGCCAGAAAAGTCGTGATGGCCATTTGGTAGATATTGTGTTCCACGTATAATAATACACTGTTCTACGCACTAAATAACTTTTAGGTATGTTATGAAACTTTTATTTTATTCGTTATCAACATCCGAAATCTCTTATTGGAATACCCTTTATAATGTACCTTTTATTATTGCATTGTAATAAATGATCCTGACTCGTGTTCTGATAACGATCTAATAAAGATTATTGTGTTACGTAGCCCTTTCTATTATCGTTCTATAAAATATGTTCGATGTTTTATAAAAATAGAGAAAAATAACATAATTATAATTAAACATAATAAAATTACATAATTATTTCTATTCTTTTTTTCAGATTAGCCAAACGACTCTGCAATACCGGTGACGTATCAAAAATGGCCGGCCAAACCTGCAAGGATTTCCAGATTTATCCATCGAACACCTTCTATCCCATTTCCTGGCAGGACTGGGAATCCTACTTCAATCCGGACAAGATGGATCACGTGATGGAAAAGATCAAAGACAGCTACGTTGTCCATGTTTGGAATAAGCTGAGCAAAGACAAACGAGTTCATCTCTATGAAGAGTCGCCATACTTGAAGTTAGCAAGGGAGTACTGTCCCGAAACTGTGAGAAATTTGGAGGAAGCGTTTTAAAAACAATGTGATTTAAGAAGCATACAAAACCGATGTTGTATTCTAGATATAATTTTGATATTTTTTTGTAAAATGTATTTATTTTGGTTTCATAAAATAAATTATTTTTTTTATTTACCTCCTTCGTCTACTGTCTACCTCATTGTCCATAAGTAGCGTGAAGTAAAATGATCTGGTATGACTCCCCAACTAGCATTTATAGTGGCAGATACGTAACTGCTACTATCAAAGCCACTACAAAGTGGGCGGTGACCATCGACGGCTACGTCGGCGTCGTATATTCGTAGCTGCTAAGTAACTGCGACCAAAATGGGGAAAGATTTTGAGTAGCCGGGTAGTGTCTTGGGTAGTTTTTGCTACTACAAGAATTACTATGATGTGTTACTGTAAATGGCCTACTGGTGAATGCGACTTATCCGTTACGAAGCTGCCTAGTCGCGGGTTCGTGGCAGCCAAGTGTTAGCCACCGACATGTGGAACTTTCGTTAAACTGTTGAACTTAAAGTCCCTAGATATATAAAGTACCGCAATTGGTTTGTTCAATGTTATTGGCGCCAAAATGGCGGATTTTTGGGGTATTTCTGGTAAGAATGTAGTGGTAGGACTGTTTAAGTGTCACATTTGTCTGTGCATTTGTCTGAATTTGTCATGTCAAATGTTGAGAAGCTGTCAATTTCAGGGTAAAAATATTTATCCACATATTTTAAAATAATTATAAAGCAACTAAAATGCTAGAAATTTATTAGTTAATAATGTATAAACGTCGATATCTTTAGTGAAGAAATGTGTATTACACGAAAAGGCCGCCATTTGATGTGTTTTCTAACATCGTCGATATTCAATACACGTTAGGTAGTGGATTGAATTTATTTATGCTCCAGTGAATATTTTTAACAATCTTATTTGTAGTATAACCTATTGGTACATCAAACTTCATTATAGAACAAGACAAGACCACAATAGATCTGGGAAGTTCGCAAATTCAATATTAATATACCACCTGATATTACGTTAAAATGAAGGTAAACTGTAGATAATAAACGTAATTCTATTACAATTAATAAATATTTTATTTTACGGCTCGCCTGTCAATGTTGGTCGGCCACATTGGCGCCGGACCGACCAGCTGCTTAAAAAGCCGAAACAGCGAAATGTTGGCCTCCTTTTTAAATTTGCCGCTAGTTTTGGAGCCAATATGGCGGTAATTGCGGTACTTTATATATCTAGGGACTTTAGTTGAACTTTATTCGCAGCGACCTCTTCATGCAATTTCACATTTTATAAAAATAAATGTCATGATGGAAAATAATTATGGAAGTCATTATTTTTTCATTATTTATGCGATTTGCCTTACAGTGCGATTTTAACGCCTTTTTAGGTAAATTACAGAACGCAATCAACTTTACTGAATAAAATAGTGGGTTTATATAACAAAATTTTCGAGCGCCTCTCAAAATATTTCAAATTATTATATTATTTGCAATAGAAACTCATGTTTGTAACTAAAAAATAATAATAATTTGCTTGAAACCGGGGTTAAACTTTAAAATATTAGTCCACCGTCAGAAATAACAAAATAACTAAGGAAAAAAGCTTTAATCTAGGTATATTTAGCTTAAAAACGCATAATGTTTGGGCCATTTGGCTGTTCGTCTAAAAATTAATGAAAAAATATGGCCGTTTAAACCGAAAAATACTTTATAGTTCCATATGCTTCTACAAAGTACCGGGAACAATAACATCTTAGGCCAACCCTACCCGTTTGGACCTTTAAAATCTTCGGATTGATAAAGTGACAATTGTAGCTATCCAAAGGCGACTTTATAGAAACAATAACTTTTTTGGAACTACATGGTCAACGATTTTTTGGAACCATAAAGTGATTTTTCCAAGAAAGTTCCCTGCGCCACCAAATTGCCGCTTAATTGGAGCGTTGCTACACTGATCGCGGTGGTGGCGACTATACATTCCATTGGTGCCACTATAACGTTCCGCCTTGTCCTTTGAAATTATTTTTTACTTATTGTGCATTTTTTATTATTAGTGTTTCTATATTATGCAGAGTTACATGAGGTAGGGTAGGTGGGGGTAAAGCCCCGCAATATTTATCTTTTGCATAATTTTTGGAACCGGGAAAAGTTTTTTTTGTCGTTTTTACATGAAGTCTTACGCACATATTTTATCTTTGGTCTAGTAATGAAAATTCTGGCGTCGGTCTGTCAGTTACGGAGAATTTAGGTTTATATAAAAAAACAAAAATGCAGGGTTTTGCCCCACCGAATAGGGCAATTCCCCGCGCGCGGGGGTTTACCCCATTGATGAATAAAGTGTAAAATAATAAAACAGTTTCATAAAAAAAACTTTTTTTATTAAAAGAATAAGATCAATGAAGAACAAGTAAACAAGTTGATTAAAACATACGGAAACTTCTTAAATCTTCTTTGAAAGTAAGCACATTGTGAAACCTAGCAGAGAGATTAAGAATAGGTTTTGACAATCTTAAAACAACATCCTTGACTTCTACGAAGGACTCTTCATTTGTTTCCGAAAATTTGTAAGTATTTGGTAATCGCTTGTAAAATACTACGTCATAACCATCTTGATAAATAGAAACGATCTTGGCAACAAAGTGTCTGAAAGAATTTTTTGTTTTGCCATCCACTTTAATTACAGCATAGTCATTTGGCAACATCAATGCAGATTCATCCTGTGAGTGCTCAAAACTTTCAACTTGATCGTTTCCATCATCATCACCTATAAAATCACCATCAGAGCTGCTGTCATGAATCGAGTAATCTGCGTCCGTGTCAGAAGAATCTTCGTTAGAATTTGTCTTTCTTCTCTTTGTGTTGGAGGGCGAGAAGAGCTGCCTTGTTGCGTTTTCTTTAGCGCGTTTTTGCTTTTCTATTGAACGTTGCTCCTTTTCAGTAGCTTGCTTTTCTTTTTCAGCTGCTTCGTTTTCCAAACGTTCCTTATTCGGTGTTGACGTAAGCAACTCGGACTTCAACCCTTTTCCTTTACGTTTCCTTTTAATTTTTATTTTAGGTAAAGGGATTATATCGGCAGGAGCTGTTGGCGGAGTCTGAACAAGGTCGGTATCAACCGTAGGTGTTGCAATGTCAGGATGATTGTTGCCTTGTTGCATAGGCTGCTCTGTTCCAACAGCAAGATCTGAAGTTGTAGTCACATCTTTTTGTACATCATTATCTTCATTAAATAATACCATTCGATCATCCTCATCCAGATCTTCTCCTGGAGACTGGTCTGTCACTTCTGATGGCAAAAAATCAGCATCCGAAAATATATTGGCATTAAATGGAAAAATACCAGTAGTTTTGAAAGCTTGAGCTGCGTTTTCAACCGAGCTTGCTTTTTCAAAAGCTATCTTGAATGATTCAGCAACGTTGTAAACGCTGAAGGTTTCTCCTGGATGAGAAACGTCCCATGAATCTACGGCAGCATCGTAATAAGCCTTCAGTGGTCGAAATATACAGCGGTCAAGAGGCTGGGTTTTGTGGCTGCTGTGAGGTGGCAAAGTAAGGAGGTGAATATTGTTTGATTTTGCGAAAGAAACTGCTTCCAGGCTTGTGTGTGACACATGATTGTCAAGTATTAATAAAATGGGGTTGCTGTCACTTGGTTTGGCATACTTTTTGAAATGATTCAGCCATTTGATGAAAGTGGGAGTGTTCATGTACCCTTTATCGGTTACAGCCATCTCGCATCCTAATGGACCACCTTTAATAAGAAGCCGATTTTCTCTTTTCTTGCGTATATAAAAAAGGGGGCACAAAATAGCCTATAGGACTCACTGCACACACGGCGGATACTGTTTGACCTTGCTCCGCTGCTACAGCCTTAGCGACTTCCTTCTTTCTCGTGGGGGCTACGTGTTTTGGAAGTATATTTGGGACCGTTTGTACCCCCCGTTTCATCCATATTGAAAATTTGGTTAGGAGAAAAATTGTACTTCTTCATAATGGCCTCTAAGTTGTTAAAATATTGAGTGAGCTGAATCCTGTTAAACCCCATTGTTCGGGCAACACTCGTCTTCCGGGGAACACGCAAAGATAACTTGTTTCTTTTCATAAAGGCTCGTGTAAAATCCTCCCTGCAAGTTGCGCTTCAACCGAGAACTGATGGGGAATGTTATTCTCCTCGGCATATTTAAATAGAAGGAATCGCAAAGATTTTAAAGTAAGGCCGAAAAATCGCTTATCCAGGTCGATACAGTGGTTTAACAGCTGAGCTTCCTGTTCTGCTGAAAATGTGGCTCGAAATCTCCCAAGCTTAGTTCCTCCCCCTTTCTGAAGTCGATCCCTTAGTGTCGATTCATGAAACCCGATTTCTTTGGCCGCCTGACTGATAGAAACACCTCTCGCGATCAGTGTACGTGCCGCAGCGAGTTGATCTTCGGTCATAGGCATGTACTGAGTTTTTCTTTTGTAGTTCCTAAAAAGTAAATACCCGTGAATATAATTTAAAAGCTGCATAATGCATGTTTTAACAAACAGGGGCAAAACCCGCACTGCAGGGATTTGCCCCTAAAAGGCTGCGGCGTTTTGCACCATTTTGTATTCTCGAAAAAATCTTTCATATAACATTTTTAAAATCACGTTCAAGAAATCATTACCACGCGAAAATAAAGCTTAGGTGACATGCTATCAACCGAGAAGTCGCCTTTTCCAGATATTCTAAATACATGCACACTATATTTGAACAAAGTGACGTAGTTATTATATTAAAATTACAAAAGATGAACTAACCTCATTTTCTCGGTACACAAGCTGCCGGCTACCATCAAATTCTCTGTCGCACTGAACGTTATTAAAACCAACTCGCCGCCTGACGGGCGAACCCGAAATGATTCCCGCGCTATTTCAAAACGCGGTGCGTGGCTTTGCCCCGTGCAGGGCTTTACCCCCACCTACCCTATAGAGTATTTTAACGCCCAATCTTTTAGCTCTTGTTTTATATTGTTGATTCTCAAATTAGTTCTCCTCTGAGATTCAGTTTCAGATGAACTAACACTACACTCATCTACAAAAACAGCTTCAAAAATGTCTCAGTCATTGCCTGATTTATGATGTTCATCAGTAGAATTATAGAAAGATGTAGATTTTTGTTTCTGATGTTGATGCATCGGCTCGCAGTGATTCCTTTTATTTAATTCTTCGGTAGAAAGTATTAGAATATCTAAATTTCTTTTTATTCACCTTAGGAATTTTACAAAATTTTATAAAGCTTAAAAGCAACTAAAAGAAAACACTAAAACAGAGCAGCACACGATGCAATCTGAGGCAATTACATTTATTAGGGTATATTAAGTTACGGTCACTATAAAGTAGCCGTTTTTGACCCGCGTGACTTTTTAGTGGCAATGGATGAGCGACGGCTACTTTATAGTGACCTAGGAAGGTAGCAGTAACCATTTTGCTACTTTCAATGCTACTATAAAATAGAAGTAACTAGGTGTCGTGGCCGCGACTACCCTGTAACTTAAATTGTTACTATAAAGTAACAAAAACTTAATGGAGGCATTATGGTAGCACTTGTTGGTAACCCCTACTTTGAAAAGTTACTATAAAGTTTTTGGTCTTTTATGGTCTCATATTCGAAGATTCGGATAGTAAGCAGCCACTTCTTTAAATTACATGTTTGCGACTTGCAATCGGGGTGTTTATTTTCCACTTTTATGGTAGGTAGGCACTAACCGGTCACTCTCGAAATATACTTCAAAGTGACTATTCCTTATTGAGTAACATTTTAAGTGGCAGAGTGGGCCTAGGAATTATGCTTTAGGGGCAGTGACATTTTAAAAAGGACTGGGAACTATATTTGCTAGTTGGGTTGGTAGTTATTAATTTTTTTATAAAAATATATAATTATAATAAAAATAGATAAATTATAATAATTATTTATTAACACAAACATCCGATACGCTATGAAACAGGTAAGTCAAATTGACGTATCTAAATTCTTTGGCATCTAATATTTGACAAGTAGTAAATAAAAGTAAAAATTCAAAATAAATATATATATATATATATACAATTAGTTAATTTTAAGTGAATTTCATAAGTCATCGGTTTACTACACCTATGTATATTATATAGCCACTTACTAGTGCAAAGTTATTCCATGTTTTCCCTCGATTTTTGACCGAGATCTACACATCCGCACACTACACAAACAACTATTTTACAGTCTTTTTCGATAAATTGCAATAGTGTTCTGCTACAATTTCCTTCTAGATTTACTACCTTTAAACAACTATCAGTAGTAGAATAAATAATAAATAACAAAATAAGCTCAGTAAAGACTGACAAATCCACAAAATTTCAAATCAAATTCAAATGTGTCAAATGAATCGTCGAATACATGGATAGCAATCTTTTTATTCAAAGTTTGACAGTAGCATACGAGGTAGATAAGCCGACGAGGTCTTTATTAACTAATTGCTTATTTTTATCTCTGTACACCAATCCCGACCTTACCCGACAATTAACCCTAAACTTTTTCACTGACATTGACACAATCATTTTAGTTCACGATCGTTTCTTTTTTTGCCAAATTCTTGTCAGTTCCTATTAAAAAAATATCACACGGCGATGAGTTCTCATAGAAATCGACGTCAGAAACGCCTTCGATCATTGAAAAACAGAGAGAACATTTCCGTAAGTCCAGTTCCATTGAAGAAACCAAGATTACTACTCAATTACACGCTGCTCATACCCGACGAAATACTCGTGCACATTTTCTCATTCTTATCCCACCAAGAACTGTTTGATAGCGTGAAATGCGTGTGCTCCAGATGGTTTAGAGTAGTTTGTACGCCCACGTTATGGAAAACAATTTCGGCTGATAATAGTATCCCGACAAACAGTTTGTGTGGATGGTTGGAACACGCTCCTTTACTTAAAAAAGCGTCGTTTTTGAACAGAAATGATATGAACTTTATTATCAACAAGATTTCGAAATATACACCTCGATTGCAAACGATAATAGTGAAAAATTGTTGGGGCAACGATAAATCAAACGTTATCCAAGCGAAAGCTTTGTACAAACTAGTTAATAAATGCGAAAGTCTGAACAATTTTGTGTTTGCAGAAACTAGAATCAAATCTACCAAGTTCTTTAAGCTTCTAGCTGCTAGAAAAAAGTACGCCAGGTTTACCAAGTGCTCATATTCCGGACCGATCAGTGAGAATCAGATAAAAGCCTTGCTGGAAGCTATCGCAACTCGGAAACACTACTATCTGTCGACGCTGGGCGCTGGATCGAAAACTGGACTAATTGTTGATAGTCGCCTTTTCAACGTTGGAGGTACTCCGCCTCATTTAATAGTTCGTCAGGTGTGGAGTACCATAATGAAAACACATTTAAACGGATCATAGATAAATAAACCTCTTCAAGTACCTGACAGCGTAAATGGTTGTGTAATCTATTTAGTATAAATAGGAAATCTAGAGGTAACCTTTTGTTGCAGTTACAGTAACGTTTAGAGTATTGTGAAAATTGAATAAAGGTATAATATTTCATTGACTTTTCATTTTCAACCAGACGCAAATAGCGTTTTAGGTAAAAATCTACAAATATGTTTTGTGTAATCTATTTAGTTCCTATTCTTGCCAAATTTTCATCAGTTTCTATTAAAAAAAGATCACTCCGCGATGAGTTCTCATATAAATCGATGTCAAAAGCGCCCTTAATCGTTTATAAAACGAGAGATCATTTCTGTAAGTCCAGTTCCATTGAAGAAACCAAGATTACTCGATTACACGCTGCTCATACCCGACGAAATACTCGTGCACATTTTCTCATTCTTATCCCACCAAGAACTGTTTGACAGCGTGAGCTGCGTGTGCTCTAGATAGCATAGAGTAGTTTATACACCAACTTTATGGAAAACAATATCGGCAGATAATAGTATCCCTACCAACAGTTTGTCTGGATGGTTGGAATACGCTCCTTTACTTAAAAAGGCGTTTTTGAACAGAAATGATATGAACTTTATTATCAACAAGATTTCGAAATATAGGTACGCCGCGATTGCAAATGATAATAGTGAAAAATTGTTGGGGCAACGAAAAATCAAACGTTATCCAGGCGAAAGCCTTTTACAAACTAGTTAATAAATGCAGTGGCGGAAAAAGGGGGGGGGGGCGGAAGGGGCGGTCCGCCCCGAGCCCCTTCTTCTAGGGGGGCTCCAAATCTTAATAAGTAATTTTTTATTCAACTGGCAAACAGGCCAATATGTGTTCAGTAGTTATACAGCAATTTGTAGTTAGAGTATGCAAACCATAAGTATACGCAAACTAAACACAGTATAAATGGAAGCAGATAATTATTATTAATTATCAATTATTAGGCCCCAGTAATTGTCAATGGCATTTTCCTATTTACGAAATTAAATCAAGGGGTAATTTTCATTGTTTAGAATATCGAATAATTATTATTTTTTATATTCGAATAATTATTATTTATTCTTGGACCTATATAGGAGTATACCGCGATTTTCGGGGATTGTTTTATTACGTCAAATTGCATTCGTTTTTCAATTTAAATGTATTATTATAAGCTTTAAAAAAATGATGTTATCGTTTCTGATACCTTTTTGAAGCTGGGGGGCCCTTAATTCTTTGGTCGGGGCCCGTCGCACGTCGGGTCCCTACGTAAAAACGGCACTGCCGATGAATAACATATTTATATCTACAGTATGTCCGCGGATTAAATTCATAAAAATTTTTGCTTGTTCTAAAATGGTAATTCCTGTTTATACTTTTCCAAATTTCCATACCGTTTTAGAGAAAAATAAAAAAACATGAAAATGTAGTTGAATTTTTAGAACTAATAAAAATAAAACGCCTTTCTATGGTAATATAACTTTGTGATAATTTTTGATAGATTATTATTGACAAATTTTAATAAAAGTTATAATTTTTCATTGACTTAAAATGTTAAACCAGACACAAAATTTATTTAGTTAAATGCTACGGAAAGGATTTGTGTTATCGGAAAATGTGATATTCTTAACATAAAAAAATATGACGTTAATCAAAATGAAATATAACGATCTATCAAAAAATTCTCATCGAAATATATTACCAAAGCGTTTTAATCGTTTAACTTTCGATTTTTCGAAATTAGAAAAATACACAGCTAAAGGCAAGAAAATATTATTTATTAATATACACTAAAGCTGTAAGAATTTTGTTCATTTCATATATATATATATATATATATATATATATATATATATATATATATATATATATATATAGATATATAGTATATATATAATATATATATTATATATATATGGTTATATATAATATCCTTTACTTTTTAAAAATTAGTACAGTATATAAATGATTTGTGAACCATTATTCATCAATCATTCATCAAATATTCACCTCGATTGCAAAATAGTGCAGAATTGTTGGGGCACATTTAGCTTTGCCGCCCCTGGCCCCCGACAGGCTTTGTCAAACACTGAATAAATGCGAAAGTCTAAACAATTTCGTGTTTGCAGAAACTAGAATCAAATCTACCAAGTTCTTTAAGCTTTTAGCTGCCAGAAAGAAGTACGCCAGGTTCACCAAGTGCTCATATTCCGGACCGATCAGTGAGAATCAGATAAAAGCCTTGCTGGAAGCTATCGCAACTCGGAAACACTACTATCTGTCGACGCTGAGCGCTGGATCGAAAACTGAACTAATTGTTGATAGTCGCCTTTTCAACGTTGGAGGTACTCCACCTCATTTAATAGTTCATCAGGTGTGGAGTACCATAATCAAAACACATTTAAACGGATCATAGATAAATAAAGCTCTTCAAGTACCTGACAGCGTAAATGGTTGTGTGATCTATTTAGTATAAATAAGAAATCTAGAGGTAACTTATTGTTGCAGTTACAGTAACGTTTAGAGTATTGTGAAAATTGAATAAAGGTATATTGACGTTTCATTTTTTGTCAGATACAAATATCTTTGTTTGGGATGTAAATCTTGAAAACATTTTGGATATGAATATTTTGGTTTATTCAAGATTGATCCTTTATTTTTGGGCTATCATGATAATATCATAATAAATATATGCTCTTATCAAAAAAATATTGAAAATAATTTTTCATGAGAATGAATGAAATATTTCGTTCTAGTACTACAAGAGAAGATAATACAAATTCAATATTTTTTAAGGTAATTAATTAGAAATCGATTTATATCTAATATAAGTTTTGATTTGGTAATTTCCTTAATTTAATAATTAATAATAGACCAAAAAGAATCAGGAAACTAACCACAAAAAAAACCAGAAATGATACGCCCATATAATTAATATTAGCTGTAAATAAAAAAGTTCCGCCTGTTATATACCCCACAAATGTTAATGATCCAATAAATGAATATCGCAAAGAAAAACTATAAAGATCGGAAAAGAAAATAGACAGTTTTGTTTGGATTTTGGTTTCTATAGAAATATTAAACGAGTTCAGACAGCTAGAGATCAATTCGTTATTGATAAGATCCAAAATTTTTATTTTTAGTTCGAAGTTAGAACTAAAAAATATGTTGTTAGCTTTGACTTGTAAATTATAATTTATATTTTATTGTTAAAGGCTTCAAGGAGAACAACAATTTGTATTAAAATGAAATTTTGTGAGCATACGCAGGTTAATTTAGAGCACTTTTTAAAATATAGAGTGTTCTACAGGGTGTCCCCAACAGAAGTTACACATCAAAGTCGTATTTTTTGTAATGGAACACCCTATATATTAATTGATTTTCGGATTCTAGCAGAAAAATAAAGATGATTTTTACGAAAGTTTATGAAAATATCTAGGAAAATCTTTGTCTGAGGTATATGCAACCTTAATAATATTTTGAAAATATATGAATTCTCCATTGAGCACTGGAATAATATACTGGGGGTTCCATTTAAAATAAAGAAGTAACTTGCTTTTAAAACTGACCAATGTTCAATATTAATTTTGTCTCACCCTGTATATAATTTTTCGGGTCAAATTTTAATTTGGTTTAACATACAATAGTTATTAAAATTAAATATCGGGCTAAATACAGGGTAAATTAGAATTTAGGTAGCTGTTATTGAAATTTAAAATGTATTCATCATTTTCACAAAATTGGAAATATACGTCAAAATTCATACATTTTAGGCATATGCTTCTTTAATGAAACTCACCTTAATTTTTTTTTCTGGAATCCGAAAATCAACTTATAATTATAAATATATAATACCTAATGAATATATCTATAACAAAAAATCAAGAAATAGAGTTTTCAAGGCAGCGCCAGCGAATAGATAGACTCTATATCTTTTAACATCTATGTAAAAAACCGCAATAAACAATACAAGCAGCTACATAATGAAATCGACTCTATGAGTGTTACGACGCTTTCAAAACGCAAGAAATCGTTTTTTTCAATCTGGGTAATTGTATAGAAAACGAGGGCATAGCACCCTTAAATAACGGGTAAGTATGTTTTAAATATTTTTGCATAATATATAATTTTTCGAAATGCCTAATAATTTGATGAAACAAAATATGAACTTGCTTAGAAAAAGTGAAGATTTTAAAATTTGTCAATGGCATGAAGTAAATTATTTATTTTTACTAAATTAATCATTTTTATATAAATTTATGTTTAGTAAATATTCTTTTAGACAAAGTTGCTTTTAAAATGACAATTGATAATATTTTTTTCAAAAAATTCAAAATTTAAAAAAAATCCTTAAAAAAAATATTATCTTTATAAAATCGCAATATATATACCTATAGTAGATTAAATTTACTCGAAAAAAAAACAGAAGAGATCCAGTGGTTGTCAAAATTTGAGCTAAAAATATATTTTTTTTATTTTCTATGTAAAATATCTCCGTTATTTTGGACCTATCTAAAAAATGGTATAGAGAAAACGTATTTTTTTATCGAGATCTACCAGCTCTGAAAATATTTGCACTTATTTAAGATTTACCCTGTATAACTTCTTTCAATGCCTTTTCCTACGCCATTTTAAAAATTATAGGTACAGTACTTCCAAAGTAAGTTGGAATGATTTAAGGCTCTTACATACGACAGTGCTTTTGTCAATACAGTCAACGTCAAAATTAGTGGTAGTAATTTTCATTTAGTAGAAAAAGTTAACAAAATATTCACCTTTCCACTAATTAAGAGTTAGAAATGAAGTTTATTGTTTTATAAACTAATTATTAAGCTTTCTCGGTGAATACTGACGAGACTGATTACCGCAAGCTGTTGCTAGGATATTCTATTAATTTTAATTATATCTTTTTAGACATCGGGGGTGAATGATCGTAAATTTTTAAGTATAAAGTATAATTGAAACCACTAATTTCTAGTTTATTTCTTGCTTTTTTAAAGGAACCCTAGTGTGTTTAAATAACCAAACCAAAGGTATCCTTATTTTAATAAAAGCAAGTTTGAACTTCCCTCACCACTTTATTTTATGAGATAAAGTAAAATACGCTATATCAAGAAAATTACAAATTTTCAAGGTGAAAGGTGAGGCTTTTTTCTACTGCTCTTAGTTGAAAATTACTAGGTAGGTATTATTATTACCTACCTACTACTAAATTACTAATTTTGACGTACTAAATACTTAGATTGAAATTATTAGAGGAACAAACTTATAATACAATTATTGAAACCACTAATTTATTCCACTAATTCTGATGTTCTGAATGAAGCTTAAAAATTTATTACCAAATACATAAAAAAACGGCGACAAGTTAGCTTGGAAGTTAGCAAAGTAACGTTAGCTTGGAAATGACGATCGATGACATTCACTGTATAATTTTACACACAAAATGACAGCAATCTTTATTTGCCAGCTACCCCTGACGTCGTTTTTTTTTCCATGGTATTCTAGATTCAATTTTAATCAGTATAAAAAATAAATGAATTGTATGAAGAAAAAAATCAAAATGATTGATAAGTTCATTTGAACCAACACTAAATTTAAAAAGACGAAAAAGAAGAAAAGTATCTATTCTAAGAATTTATTAAAAATTATTGCAGTAATTTTAAGATATCGATTTTATTTTCTCATGAAATATTTAAGCTATTTCAAACAATGAGCTGTTTTCTCATTGATTTCTCTTTCGATACAGGTTAAAATTAAAAAAATATACAGCAAATTTTCCTGCAAGGTCGTTACAAATTGGTTTAATATTAAATGATTTCAAATATCTTATTATAAATTTATATAAAAATGAACAATGCACCTATCGGTTTTGCATAATATTATCTCAACGATCGAAAGAAAAACGGTATCAAAGTTGGCTTGGAAATCGATCGTCATAATATACTGTAACAGAACACCGATTATAATTTTCAATTAAAATGCACTGTGACAGTAATACAATTTTTCGTATACTCGCTATATGTATAAACCCGTGTATTTGTATATATCAGTTGTTTACGATATTCTCCGATTGCGGCAGCACCGTCGGGGAATGGACCAAGCCTATAGTTGTCTAATGTTCACAATATTATACAATATTACTAAGTAAACAATATTATGATTAATTGTTTAAATATACCATTACTGAATTGCGTGTTTTACTTTCCAGTAACGAAATGAAGGATAGACACTTTGCAAGATATATATCTACATGTACACCTAAGCATGGAAGTCATATTTAATTAAATTAGAAATGTAGCTTAAAATATAGCATGTGTTTAACTATCATATCGATAATATTAAAGTAAAACATGCAACATATTACGTTCATGATATTTATATCCGTACCGGATAATATAGAGCTAATGAAGAGCTTATGTTTATAGGTTTTTTCTTAAAAAAAGTACATATTTTTTTGTCAGGATCAATTTATGACAGGTAATACAACTAAAGTTTATTTACAGGGTGATCAATTTAAAAATGTCGGGAAGCAACGAACCTATAGATATCTACTATTTCCCTCCAAGTGCTCCATCGAGGGCAGCTCTGATGCTCATAAAAGCTCTCGGTTTGAAGCACAATGTCAAAACTGTCGTTTTGCCAAATGGTGAACATATGAAGCCCGAATTTTTAAAGGTAAGATATATTTTTTTCTTGAGTAAAAAAATACGCTGATTAAAGCAATGGCAATAAAAAATATACCTATTTTTATAATACCAAATATTATTAAAGTCTATCCAACAATACAGAAAAGATTTGGACACACGACATCCAAAAGATGACAAAAGTTATATTTAATTTTGAATTAAAATGAGAGATAGCAACTACCGAGTATGTTCTTGTTGGATAGACTTTAAAAAAAGTAAAATAAAGTTAGTTAATAATTTGAGCCTTTTATTCCAGCTGAATCCTTTGCATACCATACCTGTTATTGAGGATAATGGCTTTACTTTATATGAGAGGTAATAGAAAATACGTATTATATATAATGGAAACACATGTATCTAAAATCAATAAATTATCTATTTTTCTAAGTAGACCATTATTATGAATTAGAAATAATGTATAAAATGTTTCAATAAAATATGTCTAGAGAATTGTATACCGGGTGTTGCATCGTCGGACGGGACATAGGAAATCCCATGTAAATTTTAATGGGGTCAATTATTGGCTTCCCTAATTATTTTAGAGAATAATTCTATTTAGGTTAATTGAAGAGCACTAAAACCCACATTCAAAAGAATAACTTTACATATTTTTGATTAGCTCGTTTACGAGTTATCACAAGTTTCGTTTTTGTGCTCAAGTCATGATGGTAGAAAACCCTGTCTTTTAATTTCCAGCATGCTCTTGAGGCGCTGCTAATCCTGTGCGGAATTTCAGAGTCGATATTGGCCTTTTCCGAAATCAAACTGCCGAGGTAATTGAATTCCGCTACATATTCCAACAGCTCATCTCCAATTTTTATTGCATTGTTGTGATCTTCCGGGGGAGTGCACATGATTTTAGTTTTATCTATATTCAGCATAAGTCCCAAGGCCTCGTATGCCCATGTATATGTGTTCAACATTTCTTGCAATTGCTGTAACGTATTTGTAACTATAGTAAATTCAACCCCAAGATGCACCAAACGTAAACAGAGACATGAGGCAAGCACGTGAACAGGAACGCTGTAGTAATATAACCAGGACCGCACTAAGGTCGGATATTTCAAATCATAAAATTGTTATGTATATTTTTATGATTTTTTTTACTATTGTTTATATTTTATGATGGAAGAGCGCTGCCATGAATATATTGAATAGGAGAGGCGCTAAGACACATCCCTGCCTAACGCCTGTGTTTGTTAGGAAGGGATCGCTCAGTGAACCATGATATGACACTCTTGATTTGTTGTTGTTATGGAGGCTTTTACACACTGTAAGAAATTTGATGGGTACTCCGAACTTTTTCATAATTGTCCAAAGTGCATCTCTGTTCACAGAGTCGAAGGCTTTTGTTAGATCGATGAATGCAACGTAAACTTTAGACTGCTGCTCTTTTACTTTTTCCTGTAGTTGCCGGATGGGGAATATGGAATCGACGGTACCGCGGTTGGTGCGAAAATCCGTTTGCGATTCTGGGAGGATTTTTTCTATTTGTGGGTTCAGGCAGTATAGTCCTAGAACTGCCGGCAAACTCTATGTGAATGGACACCTTTAAAGTTATTAATAGATAATTAACATCCATTACTTGTTTAGTTTTAGTTATAACAATAATGTTCACATACTTAGCAAAAAGTGTGTGTTCAGACTAAAGCCCTATACTCTCTATAATCTATGACCCAATGCGTTGATCTGAAGCGTCCATGCGCCCATGCACGCATAGTGAGTATGATGCGGTTCATTGATGCCATTCGTTAGTTCGTTTGGAAATTCGTCAACCAACCCAATGCATCGACGCATTGACGCGATGCGTTGGGTTGGGGTGAGTGACTATGGGATTATAAATATTGAGATAGAAAACACTGTCTGTACCAAATGTTCAAAAATAAATTTATTTTTAGTCACGTTATAATGAAATATTTGGTGGATGTATATGGAAAAGACGACAGCTTATTTCCTAAAGATCCCAAGAAAGGAGCCATTGTAAATTTAAGATGTTACTTTAGCGCGTGCTATCTATTTCCGAGATTTGCTGAATATCACGTAAGTATAAAACATTTTCAAATACCTATCTCTTTTTTTAGGAGAATTACATTTTTGGAGAGTAAAATATTTAAATAGAGAGATAATAATTAACATAAATACATCTGATATTTGAAAAAATTAAAAAATAGATTTATAATACTGAATCAGTCATTTATTTTATGCATTATACAGGGTGTTCCTTAATGACGTGCTAATATTTAAGGGGGTGATTCTTGGTCCTATTATAAGAGAAAAACTTCATATGAATGTATGTCCTAAACCTCTTAATCTCTGAGATACAGGGTGGTAACATTTTCTAAAAAAAACTTTTTTTCACAATAACTCTGATTTTATTATAGTAATCTTTATGAAACTTGATACGCATTTTCTATACATCAAAATATCTTTTTTGGTGTACAAAGGATTTTATTTATTTCAACCAATGCCGTCCATACAGGTTTTACATTGAATATTTTTGGAGAAAAAAGTGGTACACTACTGACTTCTCCTGGAATAAAAATTATTTTAAAAATTTCCATTAATTTCTAATTTTTTTAATTTTCTATTTCTTGTTTTTTTTTCGTCCGACCCATAATTTTTGCTTAAAAAAAATAAAATCAGTTTACATCAGGGTAAAATCGCTGTAAATCTGATGCAGTGACTGTTGTGTGGAAGTCGGTTGAAAGGAAATTAAGAAATAATTTTTTTTTGTGTATCAAAACATGCATTTTGATGCATGGAAGACGTTTGTCAAATATAACATAGAGATATTTTGAAAAAAAAAAGAAAATTTTACCACCCTGTATCTTAAAAAAAAAGTTAAGATGTTTAGGACAGATATTTATATGAAGTCTTTTTCTTAAAATAGGTCCAAGAATCGCTTCCTTAAATATTAGCATGTCATTAAGGAACACCCTGTACTGTAAGTATGTCCCCGGATTGTATTTTCAAGAGGAAACCCCTTTTTATCAGTGACCTTTTAAAAAAGTGTATTCTTCAGTAAAAATTTTGCTTGTTCTAAAATGCTTAATCTAGTTTATACCTTTCCAAAGTTCCATACCGCTTTAGAGAAAATAAAAAAAAGTCCTAAAAATCAAAACGCGTTTCTATGGTAAAATAATTTCGTTTTCCTTCTTTGATAGGTTGTTATTGATAGAATTTTAATTAACGTCATATTTCTGCTCTTTTAAAATGTTAAAAAAGCACAAAATTTATTTAGTTCAATGCTACGGAAAGAGTGATAATAGTTATCAGAAAATGTGATACTTCAACAACGGTAAAAAATATGACGTCTTTCAAAATTAATAATAACCAACTATCAAAGAATGAAATCGAACTTATATTACCATAGAAATGCCTTCTGAGTCTTAGGGCTTTCAAAAAATTCAACCAAAGAATATACCTAGCTAGAAAAAGAATGGACTCTGCCATAGGGGAGAGCGGGTACAATTGTAACGCGGTACAAATGTAACAGGTACCATAACTTTTTTAAATTCCAATACATTATTATGGCACCTGGTCAGTTATTCAAATTCAAGACTCAGTACAATCTGACGACAGTTGAGACTTTTGCAATGGTGCAGTGACATAACAATAGAGCTATATCTATTTATCGACACAAAAGCAAAACTTAAGCCATTTTATCAGTTCTTAAATAACTATCATATCTGATAGTTTACAGTCAATAGTATATACTTTTGTAGCCCTATGCATGTATATTTAACATATGTTCAGTTTAAAAGGTAGAATTTTGCTCTAGTTTTTTAATTTCAATAAAAGTGCAGGGTTGTCAGTTCGGTACAATTGTAACAATTGCAAAGGGTACTTCTGTAACATGTTACAGTGATACCTACCCATTGTTTCGTTAGATGTACTCATTTTTTTAATTAACATGCCTAAGTAAAAATAATTAATAGTGATAAGGGACCTACAAAACAACTTATAAAAAGAGCTGCGGATTTGGTTGTGAACGAAAATCTTGGATTTCGACAAGTTGCTAGAAGTTTGGACCTCTGTCATGTAACACTTTTCCGTTATTTAAAAAAAATACAAGCTGGTGAAACTCCTAAAGTGGTTACAATCCACATACTCGAATTTTATCCCCCGAACAAGAAAAAGCATTTTTGGAAAAAAGGGAAATTCGCAAGTTGATATTTTTTTAAAGTTTTTAATTATCTTGTTTTTAATATTGTATTTTTTATAGGCGCATTAGTTTTTTTTAGAACGCTGTTTGGAAAAATCTACGATTGTGACTAGGTTAGAATTATTCTTAGAAAAAATTCTATAGAATAGGTATAACTTTTGAAGATTGTTGTCTGCACCAGTTTTTTCACATATTGTAAATAAAAGTTGGCATTCATTTTCTAGCAATTATTATTATTTGAATGCATCCAAATCATATCTTAACGTTTGTCAGATTCTAGGAGCTAAAATTTTATTTGCTTCAGATGAAAAATCAATATACTAAACACGTTACATTTGTCCCTCCTCTATGTTACAACTGTACCACCGCGGGGTACAATTGTAACACATGTCATCACACCACTGTTGCCTTTTTTAAGACTACATAGGTGAATATACCTTCGATTTCTTATGTGCATTTTGATGATAAATGTCTAGGCTATCTAAAGATAATAAGTATACTTCGCGAAATTTCTCATTCTATTTTTGAAAAATAAATTTCTAAAAACTGTTACAACTGTACCCGCTCTCCCCTACTGAAAAATGGTCCTACAGAAGTGGCGCCGTCTATTGAGTAGGGCTTGTTTTAAATGGACCAAAGCGCGGGCTTTTTAAATGAGAGGATTTATTGAATTTTACTCTAAAATAATTAAATTTGATTATTAAATCTTATTTTTTACACGAATTCAACAATACTAATAACAAGTATTTTTGTGATGTGTAAAAAATAAGATTTAACAGTATAATTTTTACAATTATTAAATAAAATTAAAGCCAAACATGTGTAAATATTATTTATTATTTAAAGTTTTTATTTATAAGTCAAATATTTAAACATCGTTTATTATAATAAAACAAGACCAACGTAATACGCCCAAAGTTTTGTAAATTGAGTAAATATAAATAGGTACTTAAATGATGGCAAAAATAAAAGACTTACATTATATTTTTAGGGCCACAAACAAACGGAATTGTTTAATAAAAACACATATAACAAATTATAGTTTGAAAAACGTTTTGATAATCATTTTTGATAATATTATGATTGGCGCTATGACAACGACAATATTTTTTGAGAATTTGACAATAGTATGACAATGGCCGTTGGAAACTATGGAAACTACAAAAAAAATCTGATTGAACGCCATCTGGCAATAACTAGTAGCAGCTTCTTAATCTAAAAATTAATTGCACTACCACCTAGCGCCCGAGGCTGGAACTATTTTATTTGAAATTTCCGTGGAAACGGTGGAACCGCTTTTGCTATTTCACTTTCCGGCCCCTGAATTCAACCATATTTTCATTTTTATATACAGGGTGTCCCACTTAGGATGGATACAAGCGAATATCTTGATTGTATGTTGAGCGATCTTTTTCATTTTTGGCAGGAGGCTGTATGGCTATAAGACGTACATTTTGCCCAGGGTAAGAAATGCGATACCTCATAGACGTACGTTTTAATGGGGTTTGATATTTTTCGAGTCAAGAGTAAACTACCCTTATAGGTATTTATTTCAAATCTGATAAATTATGTTGAATCCTCCTTACCTAAGATACTTAAGTTCTAATTTTTATAAATATTGATACAGGGTGTGTCATTAAAATAAGACATTTTTAATTTTATTATTTTTTTAAGTACTTACGACGCCACTGGATAAACAACTGGATTATTATCAATAACCAATTATATCTAATTATCAATTTATAATCCATTTAAGTTTGGTCGAAGATGATGACTTTTAGTACGTTATAGTTTTATAAATCTTTGTTTAGAGCATATTTTCCAAAGTTAATAGTGATTGTTTTAAATAACTATATGGATTTTTTTAAATATTCCTCAATAAAACGAATAAAAATCATATTTCAGATTCCATTGAAAACAGGGTTTTTGAATTATTTTGTAGCTCATTTTATTCATTTGTATTAGCAAACTAAAAAAACAATTTTTTAAAGTAAACAAAATAAATTGAAAATATTTAGTTTTTTTGTATCGTATCTTAATTATTATGGAAGCTATCTGAAAACTTAAATCGATTATTAATTGGTAATTGGTTATTGATAATAAACCAGTTGTTTATCCATTGGCGTCGTAAGTACCTAGAAAAATTATAATAAAAATAAAAATGTCTTATTTTAATGACAGACCCTGTATCAATATTTATAAAAATTAAAACTTAAGTATCTTAGGTAAGGAGGATTCAATATAATTTATCAGATTTGAAATAAATACTGTTCTAAGGGTAGCCAGTTTGCTCTTCAGCATATCAAATCCCATTAAGCTGCCGTCTGGTGCGCTCTAACAAACTGGTTTTATCTTTCGCACGGCCTCACTGCCGTAATAAGCGCCGCTGACAATCAAGATATTGGCTTGTATCCATCTTCAGTGGGACACCCTGTAGATATTTGGAAATTTGGAAAAGTATAAACAGGATTAACCATTTTAGAACAAGAAACAAAAATTATAAAGGATTCAATTTTCTGAGAATGTCAATAATAAAAAAAATTGTAAAGACACTCCACAAAAGACCACTGATCTTTGTCCAATAGAAATGTCCTACCTATATGAAATATGAAATTACAGGTCCCTACTATGTTTCATGGAGTACTACCATCAGAAGAAGGTCTTAAAAAACTCAAAGAGGTTTTGGAACACCTGAACGGTTTTTTAGATAACCAAATGTACGTAGCTGGTCCCACACTAACTGTAGCCGATTTCGCTAACATTACTCTCATAACAACCATCGACGTAAGTATAAGTCACATTATCTATGGGGTTACAGATTCCGTGGGTCCTTAATTTAACCACCTCTACAGGTTAGGTTGCTGTAATGCTGGGGTTTTCTGAACTGTATTCCAGAAATTTCGGCAGCATATTCTGCAAATAAAAATAAGTAAAAAAGTTCGTATAAATGTATGTCCTAAAATGATTAGTTTCGGAGATACAGGGTGGATACAAAGTTTAATTTTTATTTCGATATTTTCCAAATAATTTCTGAAGAACTGACGTCAATATTTGGATGAAAAATGGTCTTTGGGAGTTTTTTGACATGAGAAATTTGATTTTGATGTCTATATGACTCTTATTTTTAGAGGGCGCCACCTACATGTGTTTTAACTGTTTCGAAGAGTAATAACTTTTCGTCCGTACCCGTATAAAAAAACTGAGTGAAAAAATATACATTTCCGTGATTTTTTACGTATAAAAATGTCTCTTGGTAAATATCACTACGAAGAATCGTCCTCAAGACATTTAGAACAGAAATAATCAATACATGTCATTATTGACAAAAAATAAACATGTTGAATAGATAGTTATTTGACTGAACTTTTTATTTTTTTAAATTGATCATAAATGTTTCTTCGAAAAATGATGATAAAACAGTTTCTCTTGAACTTTTGGCACAAAAACATTTCAAACACGGGGGTGTCACTTGTATGGGAAAACAGGCAACAGTCAAATTTAAACGTGCCAGGACCAACGACAAAGAAAGCAACATCTGCCAGGCATTGGCTTTCTTTGTCACTCACATTGCTTAAATCATGATACCGCGGCCATTTTGCCAACAAAGAAGCCGGCCGGGCTGTCCTGGCAAGTGATTTACAACAATTTTGCTTTTTTACAATATTAAATTACCATTTGGATGTATTTAATGCGATTATTCAGTTAACTGGTAATTCAACAATACTAATAACCAGTATCGTTGTGATGTGTAAAAATTAAGATTTAACAGTATAATTTATACAATTATTAAATAAAATATTATTGAATTAGTGAAATATTATTTATTATTTAAAGTTCTTATTTATAAGTCCAATATTTAAACATCGTTTATTATAATAAAACAAGACCAACGTAATACGCCCAAAGTTTTGTAAATGGAGTAAATATAAATAGGTACTTAAATGATGGCAAAAATAAAAGACTTACATTATATTTTTAGAGCCACAAACAAAGGAATTGTCTAATTAAAACACATATAACAAATTATAGTTTGAAAAACGTTTTGATATAGTAAACGCCAATTTAATCACCATAGATAAATGAAACAAGTTTAGATTGGAAAGTGCCCATAAGGACAATGTAAACACTATTTGGCGCTATTCTTGCAACGGTCGCGACCCAAAACTTTTGAAAATTTCGGAGCGGTTCGGCTTTTTCCGGAATTATATCGCCAAATATTGTTTATTCAAATTTATTATTATTTTCGTTAAATTTTATAAATAAAATACAGTGTGTTGCATACAAGAAACTTTATTTTATATAAGGACGCATGTATGAAATACCTATGAAACATTGGAAATCGATGTTATGCCACGATCCACGATGGTTTTTGCAGTTCACAGTTCACACCACAGCTTTTTAAGTTTTTAATGCCACTTTTTCACAATTATCACCTGTTGGAGTAAATAAAACTTGAATTGAACTCACAAGATAGCAATAATTACTTTGAAAATAGACGCTATATAAACACTTTTCGGAATTTCTTTAATGAGAGCGGTTTAGATTTTGAAAGATTATTATGATTTTTGAAGATTCTGACTTTGATAAGAGAAAATTATTTCTGTTTTTGTTTGTCGTTGTTCTTAGCTACCTCTATAGCAGCGCCAGATCGCGTATAACGGTCGCGACCCAAAATAATTTCGCGACCTAAAATTTTTACGGGCTTTCCAATCTAAACTTGTTGCATTTATCTATGCGTTTTGGTAATCATTTATTTGATAATATTATGATTGGCGCTATGACAACGACAATATTTTTTGAGAATTTGACAATAATATGACAATGGCCGTTGGAAACTATGGAAACTACAAAAAAATTCTGATTTAACGCCATCTGGCAATAACTTGTAGCAACTTCTTAACCTAAAAATTAATTGCACTACCACCTTTAGTGGCTGGAGGGCTGGAACTATTTTATTTGAGATTTTTAATAGAAACGGGGTGGAACCGCTTTTGCTATTTCACTTTCCCTGCCCCATGCTAATAACTATTTAGTATATGTTTAATTTACGTCAGTGATGACAGGTATTGATAATTTAGAATTCCAAATATCTGAACCATTATTCGTAGTGATTTTACCAAAGATCCCTTCGCACCAGCAGTGTAAGTGATTTAACCCTAAAAGTGCCCATACATTTTTACCTCTATCGTGATTTTTTGTGTGTGTTTTTAAGACTCCTAAACTATCTTACATCAATACAAAGCTTAAGTGGGAGGTATGTTTGGTTGCACATGCCTCATCTTTGTTGTTGTGTTCCTGGTTGGAAAGGATAGTTACTAAGGATAAGTTATTATACTAGGCAGCCTAAAGTGTCCGGAAGAGCAAAGAAAAGTGGAATTTACGAGTTATAAATCAAAGAGAATTTTATTGAAAATATCTTTAATAAATTTAAAAATAATATTCTCCCATGATGGTGGCTAATGAAAACTGGACAATTATGTTTATACTATTCCTTATTGTGGAATCTCCCCACTCTCAAGTGTTGCTGGTTCAGCTTCGATAGATTCAAACACGTAAGTAGGTATTTTCATGGGATCTAGGGAAGAAGAATATGTGTGTATTAGAGGATCATGAAAAAGATTATTATTTTGAGTTCAAATTTTAAAAGAAAGATTTTGTAAAGACAAGACTGATACACAGTTTAAAAAGAAGAATGTGTTTCCTTTGTTTGATAATATATAATGTACAAGTTAAGCATAACATATATTTGTTCAGTAATTTTTAATGAATAGTATTGATTATTTATAATACCAAATAAATATCAAATATTTTAAGCATGGCTGAATACAATATGAATAAAATAACAATAAAATTGGTATATTTGCATAATACAAAATTAAGTTTTAACAATAAAGGTGTTACTAAAAAAAAATACTAAGAAATTCATATTTCTTTGTTTTGACTGGTCTAATGTTATTTTAGCATCTTTTACGTAAGAATTATACCGTGTATCATCGAAAAATCGGCGTCTAGTTGGTTTGAAATGAACATCAAATGACATTCCCTAAATAACTGTACACATAAATAATTAACTAGAATTTTACAATCTTGGAAAATTTGATATTCTTGAACTTTGATTCTAAATATTTAAATTTTTTGATTTTCTTAATTTAGTTAGAAAAATCGTTGATTGATTTTTCATTTGTTTTTTCATTATTTTATTTATTTGTGGAATGGTCTGGTTAACATTGTAGTTTTCCATCAGTGTTGTGTTTCATATGAAAAAATAGTGTCGAATATAATCCAAAAATTGCATATCAAATATTCACACCACGCACATAATGTTTAATACTGCGTACCCATAGTCAATGTAGATAATTTTAGTGTTAAGAATAATAATAATTTAAAAATATGTGGTCATCTTCTTTTTGATAAGTTTATATTAGTTTATTAATTGGTGGTAAACATTATGAGGTGAATTACATTGTATATGTAATTTTTGGATTATATTCGACACTATTTTTCCTATATGACACACAACACTGTGAAGGCTATAGTTAGCCGAAACGTTTTTAAACCAAATAAAAATAATGAAAACCCAAATGAAAAAACTTAATCAGCGTTTTTCTCCTGAACCTAAAAAATCCCAAGAAAATCAAAAATTTTAGAATAATTTAACATATAAAATGCCAGCGATCTTCATTTCATAGCCATCGCTGACGTGCCTTTTTAGATAATATTGTATTATTTGTAAATATAATTTTCGAACATTGATACTCTTGCAAAATATATACATATACCCGTGAATGCAAATAATAATACATCACTATTAGTAGATATTAAATGTTTTTGTTAAATTAGACTGATTTTCAAACCCCAAAATTTAAAAATATATTTAAGATTTTACCCATTATCTTGCCATAAAAATTCCATACATTATTTGTACATTGTAAAAACATTTGCTGCATTTGTATGGTCTATAGTTTATTTGCCAAAGCATTTATTACTATAAATAGGTATATATGCTTGTAAAGTTATTAACTGTATATTATGTATATTTCATTTAAACTATATCATTTTTAAAAATACAAACCAAAAAATCTGAGGAATAATTATGTTTTCCATGTAATTCTACAACATATTTATTAATCCGTTATATCTAACTAGCGTGACGTCATAAAATCTTGCATTTATCTATGTTAATCACTTATTTGATAATATTATGATCGGCGCTAAGGACAACGACAATATTTTTGAGTATTTGACAATAATATGACAAATGGACGTTGGAAACTATGGAAACTACAAAAAAATTATGATTTAACGCCATCTGGCAATAACTAGTAGCAACTTCTTAACCTAAAAATTAATTGCACTACCACCTAGTGGCTAGGGCTGGAACTATTTTATTTGAGATTTCCATGGAAACGGTGGAACCGCTTTTGCTATTTCACTTTCCCGCCCCTGCTAATAACTATTTAGTCATTATGTTTAATTTACGTCAGTGATGACAGGTATTGATAATTTAGATTCCAAATATCTCGAGAACCATTATTCGTAGCGATTTTTACCAAGATACCTTCGCACCCGGCAGTAGTTTTATACAGGTACGGAAGAAAAGTGATTACTTTTCAAACCAGTTAAATAATATGTAGGTGGATACAAGTAGGAGTCATATCGATATCAAAATAAAATTTCTCGTGTGAAAAAATAGTCAAACACCAATTTTCATCCAAATATTGACGTTACTTCACAAATTACTTGGACAAAATCGAAATTAAAATGAAACTTCTACATCCTGTATCTCCGAAACTAAGCATTTTAGAACATACATTTATACGAACTTTTCACTTATTTTTATCTGCAGAATAAGTTTCCGGAATGTAGTTTGGACCACCCTGTATATGAAATTTGCTTAGAATAAAATACCGAGTAAATCTATCGGTTTGCTGACTGGGAAAATAAGTAGGTACCGAAAATCTTCACTGTCTCCGAGTCTAGAAATAGATTTGTGTGCCTGAAAACGGGGGGGGGGGTTATATCCTTTTTTAATCTTTCTATAATTATTAGTGTTAATTTTTAACAAGGTTTATGTCAATTTTTTACTATATAACGTCTAGAGATTGACCTCGTCAATATTTTCATCGAGTGTCATTTCCGAGCCGTCTTTGACGCTGTTTTTTTTTCGATTACACTGTACTTTTACAAAGATTTCAATTACATATAGGGGGGACTACTTATATTTCTATAAGTTTTAACAATCACGCCAACTTAGTTTGAGTTCTTTTTCCATGTCTTTTATTTTTTTTTATTTTTTTTTATATTCTACTGCAGATAACAAAGCCATGATAACTTTTATTGATATTAATGTTTTAATATGTATTTTTTAGGCAGCCGGCAGCGTAGATTTAAGATCTTACCCGAACATATGGATGTGGTACCAGCGGTGTAAGAAATCCATGGAAGAATATGGATTCGAAGAAGTCAATCAGGCGGGAGCATCGGCCTTTGGTCAGATGTACAAGACTAAATTATCAAGTATTAAATGAACGAAAAAAGTTTTTTCATGTTTATAAACATGATAATCACTTGTTTATTTATAGTTGGTAAAATCTATTTTCAAATAAAGGCACTTTCTATAAATTACCCAAAATTATTTTTGTTTGTGTATATTATTCCTACCAAACCATAAATTGAGACTACCAGCGTAAAAACCGCCCAACCCCAAAAAGCTTGTTTTGAGAAAACTTGGAATAAAGTTTAGTGACAATAACGCTACTAGTTTAATTTTCGAACAATATTAAGACCTAATGAACTAAAACTTATATATAAGTATACAGGCTGTCTCAAGCTAGCGTGCATTAGAAGTTTCTAGAGAACTACAACATCTAGATCGGAGAGTTTTTGCACATCATTGTTTCACAAGGAGATCTATCAATTAAAAATAGTTTTAATATGGCGGCACTTCCGGAAATACCGAAAGTTGATAGCAACATTCTTAATTTAAATTGGCATTTTAAATCTTCATTTCATAGCCATCGCTGGCGCCGTTTTTATTCGATCATACGGTATAAAGTTGCATTATAGTAATTTAAATAATATTACATACATATTTAAGATTTAAATATTATGACGGGTCATATATGTCAGTTGCCGTCTAAAATGTCATCTTGATAACAAAAAGTTAGTTATTGTCAAAAGTAGTTAAAAGCATGTTAAGATATTAAAATTTACAAGTTATAATTAGATATTTTATATTATTTCAACAACAAATACATAATAGTAGAGCGTAATGTTGATATGCAGGTCCAAAACAAAAAGTGCCGTTATATTTTTCAGTTTTCGTTGTCAGCCGCGGAAGTTTCAGTGATTTTAGTGTTGTCGGATATTTTTATTTGTGAAATAGAAATACTGCGTTTGGATTGCAAAACTAAGAGTGGAAGTTTTATTGCAATGTAAGTAAGCGTTTGTCCATTTTATATTTTACTTTTTTCATACCTATGACAAATATACATATATTGAAATTTTATAATTCGTTTTATTTAAAAAATGTTAGAAAACAAGCTTGTAATCCTGTAATTGACATAATTGTTATGTAATATATTCCATTTAAATGTAATATATTAATTTACAATTAAAAAAATGTAAATTTAAAAAATATATTTAAAATATATACAGGCATTAATTGAAATTTTTTGAGTGCGAACAAACACGAGAGGCGCTTTATTATTTACTTTCATTTCTTAACATGATAGACGAAGTTCTAAAGGGGGATGTTTTGTGGATAAAATCAAGAAAAATTACGCTTTAAAACTAAATTTTACATAACTTAAAAACAATTTATGGTATATAAAGGGTATATAAATATATTTAGGGTATATAAAACGATGTGAGGAATGTGGGGTATAATCAAAAAGTAACGAATTGAAAATCTATTTCTCTAATAAAATAAAAAAGTGGATTTCCAAAATGATTTATCATAATTTTTTAACCTCATAATTCCATGACAGCTACGGCGCTACGGCCAATAGTATATGACATTCAAACAATTTAATTTTTGAAATAGATAGCGAAATATCTTTTCTTTATGTCACAGTAGCTCTAGTAATCACTAAATTTGACATTTAGGCTATACACATTTTTTTGCAGGCAGTTTTTCCTACAAAAATTTTAAATATTTTTTTCTCAAAAACGGTTAATGTTAGGTATAAAGTGTTTGATATCAAAATTCATAAAATTTTACAGAGAATTTAAGTATGTAATAAAAAATTGGGGTCCCCATTTAAAATAAGAAAGTTGCTACCACATTGAAAATATTTTTAATTGATAGATGGCATTGTGAAACAATGATGTGCAAAAAATCTCCGTTCTAGATATAATAACTGTTGATACTAAAAAAAATGTATATTAGGCCAATATTAATAATTGCATGAAAACTATTAATGAAGCAACTTGAAGCAACAGTAAATTAAAACTTTTATTTTTATTTAGATACAAAATGAATTTAATAAAATAAATATCATTCACTTCAAATTTGCGATTTTGTGGATTAGGCCGTTTTTGCGCTGGTATCCTCCATTATAAATTTTTATTTTTGAAAGAATTCTCCCGTATTGTTTTTAGGTTAAAAGAAGACGACAATTTTTCTCAAGGAGGCCTGATGTTTAAAATAAAAAGAAGAAAAGTAAAGAAAAAAACAAATTAAAAATAAAATTTAAATTAAAAATGCAGAAACTCATCATCAGATCATTGCAGAAACTATTCGTGGCGTCATATATAATATAGTATCAACTTGGAATATCAATTTAATATCATCTTTAGATGCGGACACCCTATATTTCTTAAAAAAAACGATCTAAAATTTACTTACCATCAGAGGTAACATAGTATTCTGGTGTTATCTGTGTTATCATCAGTGCTTAACTTTTGAAACGTTTCTCAACGACTTTTTGACTTGAGAAATCTGTTTTCTAGAAACATGACAGTCTTTCTAGTCAATAAAATGACAGGTAGTATGATAAAACATTTTATCAGGGAAAGGTACGTACCCAGGAAGTTACTAAGTTGTAAAGTTAAGTGATTTCGAGAATTTTTAAAGATTATTTCGGCAAAATATTTCGTGGGGTATTTTGCGGATGGTCAGTTTCAGTTGTTCTTCAGGTGTCTTTCAGTACTAGCCACAAGCAAAACTAAAAGGTAAGATATTTAATTAAGTATTTTGTAGAAATATTTTTAACAGCATCATTTAAATTATTCAAAAAATCACATATTCTCTAACGTATTATTTATCTTATTTTTTTTTTAAATTAAATTAGAAGAGCGATCAATTATTCTGTACCGGGTGTCTCTTAAATAAGTGTAGGTATTTTAAGGGATAATAGAATAAGACAAATGAAACATAACTATTTTCTATTTGCCATTTTTAAAATAAATTTAAAATAACTGAGTTATTTAACTTGACTTATTTAATTTGAACTTAAAATATAAAAAAAAGTTCCTACAAACATGGGTGCGGAAATGCATAGTTTTAAAGTTACTCTTAAAAATTTAAAGAATAGGCCTTTTGTAATTATCTTAAATACCATTATTTTTTTGTAGATTTTTTTGTATATTCATAGTAACTTTTACTCTCCAAATTTCATTCCAATCATGATGCAAAAAAAACGCAACGAAGAAAATGTTGTTCAAATTTAAAGTGTTACATTTTTGTTATTATTAGCCCTATTTTAATGAATTTTTTAGAAAACTGTATATAATTATAATATCAACTTTAATTCGTAAACTAAGTCTTTTATAAACTTTAGTATTTGGCATATATACCGGGCTAATCAAAGGGGTTGTTTTTTATGCTAACTTTAAAACACCCTGTGCAATAATTTCGTGTAAAAATTTTCCTAAAATATAATTTTACGGTCAGAACCATGACTCCTGAGCATTTTGTTTTTTAATTCAAGTCAATACACGCTTTGGTTAATTTTTAAAAGCGAAATGAACTGATCACAATCAATTTGCAATTTTTTCAATTGTCATTACTTTTTGATGTAATTTTTTAATATGACGAGATGGTTTTGATGACCATGTCGTAACGTCACATTACGCTGCATTGGATACTCTATACTAAATTTAAAAAAAAAACGTTAAAGGCTAACGATACAGTCGTGGTTTTAATAAATATTTATAACGATAACAGAATTAACGATATTAAAGAATACATCTTGTGTATATACAGGGTGTCTCAGATTTTAATCGGGAAAATTTAATAGACGATAGAACTTGCAAAAATAAAACAAAAAGTTCATATCAACTTTTAAGATTTAAAGATTCCTTTTCGAGATACAGGGTGTTAAAGTTACTTAAAAAATAAAAAAAATAAGATATTTGAAAAACTATATTTAATGGATTTTGATATAACTTGACCCGTTTATAATAGTTACTATGGGACTTAATTTGATGTAATTAGATATAAGTTTAATGGCCAGGGGCGGCGGTGGTGCAACACTGTTAAATTATTTTAAAGGAAAAAATAGGCACGCCACTGCTTTTTTAGAAGTTTAATATTATTTTTGGATTTAGTAATTAAAAATATTATTTTTTTGTCTCCTGACTTTTTTGTCTATCTTGCTTACTTCTTGCGAAAAAAATTAAATTCATTTATTCACTCCACCCTGGACAATAAATTAAATAATAATGGTTAGTTACAACAATTACAACAATTGTTCGAATTGATAACCACGAGCGCTGGATTGGTCGTTTAGGGCCAGTCTTGGCTACCTAGGTCCCAGACTTTACCCCTTTGGATTTTTATTTGTGGGGGATAATAAAAGCAAAGGTGTATGAAACAGCAGTTAACACTAGTGGGTAAATGAATTTGTAGATATTGTTGCGGGCCGGTGTGGACTCGACCTAACCTCACAATATGGCCCGCCCTCGGATGACCTTAACATCGCATAGACACCGCAATGATTCATTCGTTCGAGAAGAATCGAGTCCCACTGGAATGGACTAGTACATACGAGAACATTCGAAAACCTTCTCTACGCACCTAACGATCTATGGACAATTCTAGAGTTCTTTACCTGTCGGTATAAAAGCCGGCGGCGGTGGCCTACAGGGGGCAGTTATAAATATACAGCTGACGCGCTAAAATTCAAAATAAATTCGTAGTTATAAATCGTTTGTAAATAGTTCTATAAGACTTTTATCGTTATTATTTTTGTTAATTAGTGTTAAATAAATAGTGTTTAAATAAATTGTGACTTTCTATCCACACGGAACCGACGAAAAACGTAACAATATATTACGAATTTTTTTGGAACTTTAGTTTCGGAGATATTAATTTAATCGGACCTTTTTAAAAAAAATAATTTTATTTTTCAGAAACTATTTGAGACAGAGTTTACCAAAAATGCTTTTTATATCTACTAGTGGGTAAATGAATTTGTAGATATATTACGACTTTTTTTGGAACTTTAGTTTCGGAAAAATAAATTTTTAGAATCCAAAACGCAATCAATGATGAAAATCCGGTCCAGATTTCAAGCGCAGTACATTCCGTAGTTTGTCGTTGCAGAAAATGCGTTGATGTTAGTGGTTATTATTACAATTCGAACAATTATTGTAATTGTTGTAACTAACCATTAT